ATATTTACAAGTGAGTAAAAGAATTGGTAACTAATTAAGGCCTTTTCCAATTATATTCACTGATTATAATAATCTTTAACGATTTTGACTTTGTACCACACTTTTGTTAAGAAGTTCGAGATATATATGTATATGTTGAGTGTTTATTAAAATAGTAAACAGAATTTGCGTACTCTTAAGGTTGTTAGTCAGTACTTAACTTGGTTATCAACTCAATATGTTTGATGGCTACAAAGGCGGTTTTTAATATCCTTTTAATTCCTTAACAGAATAGTTAAAGTAGTTAATCCTAACCATAAAACGGTTATATGCAGTTTACTTACTTAACTTACTTACTTACTTTTAACTTTACTTAATACTTTTCTGAAGTTAATGTGCTAGATTAAGTACGATTAAAATGTTAAAAAAAAGATTTATATTTTTAAAACGGTGACTTTATGACATTCAATCTTCTACACGTGCAAGTATGTGATTAGAAAACACAGTCACTTTGTACTGAAGGATCAGTAAACTTTGGATTTCATCGAATTATTATCTAATCGATTGGTCAGACGTTTCAAGAAAACAATAAATGGGATTTCCTTGTGGCTTCTGCTGAGGCAACTCAACATTAATTGGCGAAAAGAGCGACTGGTGCTTATCAGGGCAATAGGAAGCCAAATGAGCAATCAAAATATTATTACTGCTAGCCTGGATTTCCCAAGCCCCAGACGCCGCGATTTCTTGGCAGCCGCCTGTTTTTATTTCGATTCTTGAAACTCAATCAGATATGCATTTCCAAGAGGCCTTTAAAACTCTTGAGTTTATCTTAACTCAGACGAAAGATAACCAAATCCTGAGAAACCTCTTCGATTTTTTATTAGTTCGCAATAGGCAGTGTTGTTTTCACCTGTTTAAGAAATAATACTAATCGCAATTTATTAGTATAAAGAGCAATCAACTTCAAAGTTCACTTAAAACCCACTCAAACGTTCCGAGACTTCTGTGAGTCACAGTCTGATCAAAGTAAAAGGAGTCTACATGCTCATAGAGCGTGTTCTTTTGTTCCTTTTATGGAATATTTTTTATTTAACTTCAAAATCTATTTCCTGGCGGTTAAGATTTAATCTATCAAAAACTGCTGAGCTGCAGTAAAGCTTTGCATCATTGTACTAATGTTTGAATTGAAGTGTTTTTAGAGAAGTCGTAGTTTAACATTATTTAAGTTTTTGATTTTATTTAGAACAATCATTAACCAAACTATATTTACTGCACTATTCAGTTCAGCTTTACGATCAGATTTTATCTGATATTACCAGGAAGAACGCAATAGTTTTTCAAAATTGGTTTTTTAATAGAATCATAAGATTAAACTTAATATTTTTAGCTCTACAAATATTTATAAATAATATCCTATCAAACTATAAAAATTCTATATACATTAAGCTTTGTTCATAGGTCGTAGCTTCCTCAGTCCCTCTAACTAGTAGTAATAGTTTCTTTTTCTTCGTTAGGCTGAAGGTCAATCTTGCTTTCCAGAGGAGGAGCTGATGCCGAAACACTTTCGTTTAGAGCAGCAGCAGGTTCCGGATTTTGCTTCTCTAGATCAACAGGAGCTGGGTGCTCCTCTGGGGATGTCTCAGCAGGCAGCACTTTAGGCTGAGGAGCAGGTCTCCGGTTTGGCAGAATCAGACTTTCCAATGCGCCGCAAGGAGCTTCGATCAAAATGTACATGACATATGCTAGCAGCACTGAAAATCCAAAGTCCTGCCAGAAGCGCAACATCTGTAACAGAAAATAGATTCCTTTTAATCTTAAAACTTAAAAAAAAACTCCTAAATTACTTACTATATCGTAGTCGGAGAAGTAAGTGTTAACTCGCGTGCGCCCACCATTGAGATTCTGAATCACCAGATGTCCCATGTAGGTGCAGAAGGACAACTTCGAGAGAGGCTGCCAGAGAGGCGAGCTAAGGAAGGAAGTGGCCAGTCCACCATATCCCTGCATGCAGGCGAAAACCACCCAACTGAGGCCCAAAGGCCACGCAATCCGGGACAGCGAAACATAGAAAGCTTCGTTGAGAATGGGTATTGTCTTGGATTTGCCAGTGCCATAAGGATACATGGCAAAGATGCAAGTAAACAGCAGGGCTAGGCTGGTAAGCCATCCCAACCAGACAGTCGGACGATTCAGCTTGATGGCCTTTCCGCGGATTGTATGCAGGTAGTAGCCGAAGAGGAAACCCACCAGCCATCCAGAAGCCCTGTTGTGGGTATAGTGCTCCAGATCTTCAGAATAATCATCGGGACCTCCGCCGCCTCCACCGTTCATCCTATCAATAGTATTAAATATTAAATATATTCTAGACTTTACATTCTGATCACCGTTACTTACAAGGAGTTGTCGTTGATCACCATAATACTGATCAAGTAGGCGGCAAGTCCCAGCAAGAGCAGCAGAACCACTGCGGCACCTTTCTTGCCCCATTTGTACACAATAATCAGCAGGATGGGAGCAATGATATACAATTGCATATCAATGGCCAGGTACCATGTGTGAGCCAGGCACTTAACAGGAAAGATAATGATTAGCAGAGTGCTTGAATAGAGCTACTGCTGACTTACTTCCTGATCGGTAGCGTAGTTCTGAATGTAGAGCAGGGTCCAATACCAGTTATCGCTGCAGCTATCGTAGTTATCAAAGTTCCAGTTGCCATACAACGGGCCATCGCCCAAAAGGGGCAGTATCTTCCAGTAGACCAAAATAGATGGGCGTGAGGCGCAGATAGCGATGAAGGTACATCAGCGGAATATTCAGCTTTCCCTTGGCCCTAAAATTGTGATAGTAAATAGGATGGTCAAGTTTATGTTAGTATTCAAACTTACTTTTCCATTGAACGAAGGGCAACCATGGCAACCAGAAGTCCACTAATGAAGAAAAATGAGTCTACTGCAAACACTCCCTCCCGGATAACGCTTACGAAGGGTGTTTTCGCCCACTGAGATTGAGAATAAATGTTATATTAAAGGGTTTTAGTTAAATTTTAATACTCACAGTATAAATATCGTACAAGTTGATATTGGGTGATGTCATTCCAATAATATAGTCGTGACCATAGCAGACCCAGATCAAGGACATTCCACGCAATCCATGAAGGCACTCAATCACATTGGGATTGGGTTTGATGGTAATGCGGAACAGGGATCGGGAATTGGCGCGTGCAGAGAAAGCCTTCACAACAGAATTCAAGTTTTCTACAAATTGAAAAAAACCAGTAAAAAAACGGATCCTTTTTATGGACAACTTTATCTACTTACTTTGATCTTGACACAGGAAATAGTCGTAGAGAGTGGCCAGAACCACCACACCGCCAAACACAGACAAAAGAACGCTGCAAAGTTATCTTTAAATTAAAGGACACTTTATAAGAAAGTTTATTTTACATACATGGTGAAAATAGTGACTGCATCGTAGTCCTCCCGCTCCGAAGTTTTGCAGGAGCTTTCCCTGACCAAACTCTGATTCGAATCCAGTTCCAATCCGATCAGTTGCTTGATGACTCGTCGCAGGAGGGTGTCCATATTGGTGGCCGAACAGGAGGCGGGAAAGCAAACGGCCGTCTGGACATTCATCATCCTGCCAACATTTCCCAGCAGTTGCTGCAGTGGCAACGAGGACAGGCAGTATTTGCCCAGCAGAGTAGAGCCGGATGTGAGGGCCTGTTCGATGTTAACGCATTCATCGTAGTGACCCAGATCCTTGAGATGACCCTTCAGGATGCCAGCAGGTATGGATCCCCAGGAATCAATCACTGTGCACAAAATTATTACATTCACTGTTTACACTTTCACTTTCCCTATCACTTACTTCTATAGGACCACAGACTTCCAGAGGCCAGTCCGGCGGTCAGCTGAGCAAATTCAGCATAGCACTGTAAATCCGAAACCGTTGGAAGACGTCCTTCGGGAACAAAGTCCTCTAAGGTTACATTCTGGTATTGGTTAAAGAACACCTCCGACAAATGCCGCAGTTGGTTTAGTTTTTGGTAATCCTTTACATCCAGTTCGATGCCTTGATTTAGCTCCAGATCCGCGTTGAGGGCACTGGTCATGGCCAGGCCAAAAAGAAGTAGTACTACTGTGACTCTCACCATCTCTGTGGACGTCCAACCGCCGAATATTTGGGATCCGTTAAAGAGCGACCCCTTTTATAAGCCATGTCTGCCATTCGTCTGAGATAAGGATTAGTAATATATGGTCACTTTGATTAGCCCAATTTTTTACCTTAGCATGACTTTCCGAATTGCCTTTAAATATAATCGGGCAAATTTATACTTTTGATTAAAATCATTGAAGAAATTTTTGTTTTTGCATATTATGGGGGTCGAAGTATGATTATCTTATCGATGCCACACAATTCGGGTGCTAGAAGAGTCAAAACACTTTAAATTATAATAAAACGTGTAGTACTGCAAGCATTCCAAACGGATTCTCATAATTTAAGGTCATAATATAAACTTCATATAGCGATGGTAGCCGGAAAGGCCTTTCAAATTGGGATGGGAGTTGTTTAGGAGTCTCCCGACCTTGTCCACTTGAGAACTATTTCCTCAAGTCCAAAAACCAAACATTACGACGTACAAAATTCGTGCAATTCACCTTCTTATCTTCCGATGTCTGGTAATACGAACACGCTTTTTGCTGATCTGGTGGGTTTCCAGGTGCTATTTATTGCTTTTCGATTAAGTAGATGCGATCAGTCTGGAAAGTTGATAGCGAGTATATCTTAATGATCAGATCTTTGCAATAAGTTAATTAACATGTAGCTGGTTATGCGTGGAACTTGATTGACTTGAAAAGTGATCAGCTGGTGTGCCTGCAACATGTCTCCATTAATATATGGCCAGGTAAATCAGTCTACATCTTTAATGGCATTGTAATTGATCACATAATTCATAGTTAACACAATTTATTTAGTAAGTAATTTTAAGTAACAATTGACTAGTGTTTCCTGAAGACAGGTCAGGCTTGCCCAGAAAATATTTTGATTTCCCTTGCTACACTATCGGCATCTAAAGTTCCTGATTGCTTCTCAGGGTCTTTAGATGTTTCCACTGCTTTTGGCGCAGCCTCTGGAATGTGTTGACTGGGCTGAGGAGTAGGTCTCCGATTTGGTAGTAACAAAGTCTCTATTCCGCCACAAGGAGCTTCAATCAGGATGTACATGACAAAGGCGAGCAGTACTGAAAACCCAAAATCTTGCCAGAAACGTAGCATCTAAAGAAAAAGTAAGTTTAACCACTAATCTTAAGATCAATTTACTAAAAACTTACCACATCGTAATCGGAAAAGTAGGTGTTCACGCGAGTACGCCCCGCATTGAGGTTCTGTATGAAAAGATGCCAGATGTAGGTGGAAAAGGACAACTTTGAGAGTGGCTGCCACAGTGGCGAGGACAGAAAGGCGTTAGCCAATCCTCCATAGCCCTGCATACAGGCAAAAACCACCCAACTCAGGGCCAAAGGCCAGGCAATCCTGGAGAGGGAAATGTAAAAGGCCTCAGCGACTGCAGATAGGGATTTGCTCTTGGCAATGCCATAAGGATACATGGCAAAGATGATAGTAAAGAAGATAGCCAGACTGATGATCCATCCTGCCCAGACAGCAGGACGACTTAGTTTGATCTTCTTTCCACGGATTGTGTGGAGGAAGTAGCCAAAGAGGAAACCCATCAACCAGCCAGATGCCCGATTGTGGGTGTGATGGGAAACCCCTTGGGAACTAACAGCGTTAAGGGATATTCTGAAAAGAATTATAGTTAAAATAACTTTATATTAGGTCCAAAATTAATTTTTACTTACAGTGAATACTCATTAATTGCTACATAACCAATGAGAAAACCTGCTAGAACAAGAATAAGAACTAGAATGGCAGCAGCACCTTTCTTGCCCCACTTGACGACAGCAAAGAGGAAAATAGGGGCCAGAATATAGAGCTGCATATCGATGGCCAGATACCAGGCTTGAATGAGGCACTTTAAAAGGTTAAAAAGTGATTAAGTAATTTAGTTTTGAATTAATGAAGATATAAATACCTCATTCTCAGTGGCGTAGTTCTGCACGTATAGCAGGGTCCAGAACCAGCTTTTCTTGCAGTTGTCGTAGTTGTCAAAGTTCCACTGGCCGTAGAGCGGACCATCGCCCATGAGGGGCAGTATTTTCAGATGGACAATGATGGCCACTGCCAGCATGGGGGTGATGCGCAGATATCGATGAAGATACATCAAGGGTATATTGAGTTTTCCCTTGGCTCTGTGATTATCTTGTTCAAAATAATGAAACAATTTTAATATTTAGAAAACTTACCTTTCCATAGCGCGCAAGGAGACAACGGCCACAAGAAGTCCACTGAGAAAGAAGAATGTATCCACTGCGAAAACTCCTTCATTGATAAACTCCATGAAAGGCGTCTTGGCCCACTGTTTTAATGATTAAATATTAAAAACATAAAAGCTTTAGAACTAAGAGGTTTATCTTACCGCATAAATATCCACATAGTTAATGTTGGGGGAAGTGAATGTCACTATATAATCATGGCCATAGCACACCCAAATCAAGGACATGCAGCGAATTCCATTAAGGCACTCTATGACATTCGGATTGGATTTAGTGGAGACGTGGAAAAGAGCTCGGGAATTGGCACGAGCTGAGAAAGCCTTCAGCAATGGAGGAAGTTTTTCTATAAATAAAAGACATTTAAGCATTCTATCTTAAGATTTTTTTACTTACTTACTTTGATCCTCACAAAGGAAGTAGTCATATAGAGTGGCGATAGCAACTGCAGCTCCGAATATAGATAATAATACTCTGAAAGTTTTAAACGTAGTTAGTCTATGTTTTGTATAATCAAAAGGAGTAAAAGACATACATTGTGAAGATAGTCCAACCATCGTAGGATTCCCTTTCTGCAGTCTTGCAGGTACTCTCCTTGACAAAAGTTAAATCCGAATTTAACTGGACACTAAGAAGTTGCTGAATGACCCGTCGCAGAAGAGTATCCATATTTGCGGCAGAGCAAGAGGCGGGAAAGCAAACAGCTGTCTGGGGACTTAACAGACTGATTGCTGTAGATGATCCCAGTAACTGTTGAAGTGGCAGCTGGGCACGGCAATACTTGCCCAACACATGGCCATTGGATCCGATGGCCTGATCAATCCTCACGCACTCATCATAGTGACCCAGATCCTTGAGGTGACCCATTAGGATTCCCGAAGGTATGGATCCCCAAGCGTCGACCACTAACACATATCATATTAATCACTTTAATGACTTTTGCTTCCCATCAAACTTACTTTTGTAGGCCCATAGACTGCCTGAAGATAATCCTGAGGCTAACTGGGCGAACTCCGCATAACACTGTAAGTCCTGCGTTGTAGGTAACCTGGTTTCAGGAACCAAATCTGAGATTGTGACGTTCTGATAGTAACTAAAGAACTCTTCTGACAAGTGTCGAAGTCTTGTGAGGCGATGATACTCCGCCATATCCTTAATTTCCCCATTTTGGAATTCCGTTTCTGGACTTTGCGATTTGCCTAGGGCAACGCCTATTAAGAAAATGAGTAATATACTTGTGGCCATTTCGCCGATCGCCTTGCAAACGAATGATCGATCTTTGGATGGCGGCTAACCTTTTATAATATTGAACCAACTTGCACGGTTCACGATGATTTGGAGTTAGCCCTAAGTATTAATCTACATGTTTATATATTCTAAAGAAGTCGGTTGTTCTGTATGAGTCAAAATGATAATTTTTACCAAATCATTATGAATGTTTGTCGTGTGCCAAATCTTATCGCTTAGAGTATCAACACTTATTGTAAGCTCTAATAACCCCTTTGGATTTTCCTTTGACTTAGTTTAGCCAGAAGTTCGTCAGTTCTTAGCTGAGTTCATTTATTTTGACCGTGGTCAAGTAAAGCCGAAATACAGAGGGCAATAAAGATAATGATTAGGTTGAACAACGAACGATTGAAGTTAAGGAACAGCTAATCGCTAAAATCTTTCTAGCATCTAAGCAGAGTGCTCCTCTGCAGACTATTCAATAAATTCAATACTGATAAAATGGCAACAGCAAAATTAATATACTGACAGTTTAAGCCGATTTGCAGTGACGGATTAAACGGAAAATATTGAAAATTTCAAATGATTAAAATTGCGTTTTCAAATGTTATTTAAAAGCTTTCTAAACATGATAACATAGACAAATGTAACTGAACTTCAGACTATTTAAAGTTTCTTGATCTCTCATTATCTATTTTTGTATTAAATGTTTGTTTAACTAATCTTATCAATAAATCTACTTTAGCTAAAATTCCTCAGAACCCCAATGATGTGGGAAATTATTGTGTGGAGAAATACTATCTTCATGTGTCTACTGCGTGCTGCATAATTCCAGAGTGTGGGAGTTGATATTGCCACAATCGATGTCTCTAAAATTAGTTCAGCTAAGAGATAAGTTGGGGACTTTTTTGGCCATGGTCAACTTAGGAAAACGTGCCACAGGCCACAGGCCATACACAGGGCTTTTAATTTTTCAGGTGTGTTCTTACTTATAAATAAACCCGATTCTATTTTTTACAATCCCCTTATTAACATTTTGTGACATTTGCAAAATTTGCATTTAACATGACCAGTGGCCCGTCTCCGGCACCACGCCTATCCATTAAAATCACTCTCCGTAGATATGAATATGCTTATATATGGATAAAATGCCTTCGGCCTGCTGCTCTAATGATAGTTTAATTTGCCGCGTAATTCAATTAGAATTGGACCAGCTGTCTGGCTGGCTGGTAGAGGGAAGTTCCTAGGCACTTCCGTAAGTGCAGGCACCAGATTCTTGCAAGTAAATACGTTACCCGCCACTCGACACGTTCGCGATTAAGATGGCTTTGATTTCGTTATTTGTTATGTTTTGATTATGATTTGCTTAGCATGTTGACAAAAAAAGCTTTGCTGTCATTGTCATGTCCAACACGGCGTATGCGTAACAAAGCAAAGCCAATCGAAAAAGGCCAAATCACAGCCGCTGATCACAACAACATCAAAAGAATCGATCAGACAAATGCGAAAGCAATCAGCGCCGTCGAATTGTTCGATCCGATAGCCGCCGGCGGTTCTTAACAGTAAATTTGTCCCGCGTCGCGAGTTGTTTAGGGAAATACTTGTTGGGGAGCAAACGAGTTCGACTGCCTCCTGCAAGTGCACACGGGAAGAAAATCGATATATTAATATACTTTATTTAACTTTTAATAAACCAAAGTATTTATAAGCAATCAAGAAGTCAATTATTTACAAAGCGGCTTAAGAACTTTTTATTTTTGGCAACGGAAAAGTAAACGCTTTCAGTTATTAAATATCATAAATATTAGAGAACCATGCTCATAAAATGCTTTTAACTTAATAAATATACAATCATTACTGAGTAAAATATTATAAATTTCTAATAGTTTTGAAAACATGGATAGAAAAATCCTTTTAAATGGGATAACTTATTTAAAATTCAAACCACAATAATAAGCTACAACATTTAGCTGAATAACCATCAATCAGATATAAGCAAACACTCGAAAATGTTTTGAGTTAAGGGGATTTATTTTTTCGCTGTGCAATAGCCACAGCATTATCGCGTCACAAGCGTGCCTTAAAAAGCACAAATCGCGCCAAACGACAAAAACAAATGAGAAGATTGTTGCCGACAAGCGATTCGGTTCGTAGAATTGTCCAACCGACATGACGGATGCGTCACACTTTCTTTTTGGGGAAGTCCGGATGCGCGAGAGCACCTCGAATCAGCCGACTAGTAGCCGGTTCCAAAGATGCCTCCTCACGGTCGCTGACGTTGCGGTCTGGAAACGTGACTCGGGTGTGAACTGAGCACAGAGATATGAATCTTAGCATCTACCAGATACAAATGGATAAAGATGTAAATGGGCAAACAACGGGTTAATTGGGCACACCCACTTTTTGTGTCCCGCTTTAATGGGAATCAATTAGCTTTAGGTAATCAGTTAATTAAGAGTTCTTGCAGATCACTTTATCAGCGGTAGTCCGATGTCGTAACATTTTTTTAGGGAGTGAATCACACCACTTAAAAAACAAATACCCATTAAACAGAATTCGTGGCCCAAATTTGCATGTGAATCCTTTTTTTCCGATTCGGTAAAAAGTCCCCCAAGGGGTGTTTATTATGCTGAACTTGCAATTGGGTTACTTAAAATGCAGAATGCTTAATTGGCAGAGCAATTGATGGAAGGAAGTTACTAGTTTTTATGGAACGCTTACAATGTATAGAAAATCAGCGATTTTTATGGCCAATCAACGGCGAATGCAACAAGCGTTGAAGTAGCTAAACTGCCGACAATTATTTTTATGAAAGCAACTTATATTATTAAAACCATTAATGTTTTAGTTGCTCATGTTGTGATAAACATTGAATTAAAATTAGATTAAATTAAGTACAAACTACTTGTTGTATTTACTTCTAATGCCTGTTTATAATTTGTTTAATGTTTGCTTTTTAAATAAAAAAAGTCGTTCTTTAGCCATTCTTGATTTCATAAATTAGTTATTTAATGATCGAGCTGTCACATTTTTAATTCTAATTAAATCAAATTCATATAAATGCAAATAAATGCGGTAATGACGTGACGGTTATGGCAGCTCCAAATTCTTTGCCCGCATCGCAGTTTCAAGTTGATTCTTGTGCGGAACTCCCATGATTCGCTAATTAATAGTCAATTAATTGGAAATAATATGATTTTCGGATTCGAATTCGTATTCGGATTTCTGAACATTCGAATGTTCCTGGCTTTCTTTAAGCATTTAATCAATTAACTGCTTAGCCTTGGTACTGCAAACAATGATCGACTTCCACACTTGTCATCTACTTACGAAGTCCATTTTATTCTAAGATTTCAACGAGTTCAACTGCATTTGTTAGCAACTATTGGGTATTTATTGAGTAATGATCGACTTAAAAGTCAGGGGACAGGCGCCTCAACTGCAAATTTTCACACTGACTTCGTAATGGGCTTCTGAGCTTCTCAACATGACGGCTGGCATATATGCTAGCACTAGAGCAATCCCTCTCACATAGTTAACTCCATGAAGACCGACTAACTGACAGCTACAGCATCGAACTACAAATTGCATCTACCATATGCGATCCTCGGTCTATTGGAAATTCCATTTTTAATTGCGATTCTACTTTCGCACGATACAAAGTTGTAATAAATCACAATCACTCTGGGCCACAGTCTCCTCTAACTTAACCAGTCATAAATTCGACCATTTCGTAGCGAATTGGAGGCGTTGGTAGTAATAAAGTTGTAACAACATTCAGAGTCAAGTTCAAATATTAATTGGCCTTTAAAAGGCAATGCTGATTGAAAACAGTTGGATGTGAGAAACACATCAAAAAAAACACAACAAATAGTCAGTTTCCCAAATGATATATGACTTATAAATTTCGATATATTCTTGGTCCTGCTGTTCAGGAATATATTGTATGTGTTTTAATTTGTTTCGTAGACTATACAATGTTAGTTGAGCAGCAAAACAAAACCTCTATGTCATTCTTGTATTCACCATTTCACAGTTTTATGAAACTATTAAAGCCTTTCTTCAACTTCATATGCGTCTTTTAAGTAGTTGATATACACACTTTACTTTGAGAAATATAACACATTTATTATGAACTGATTCACTCATTCATACTAAAAAACAAACTTTTTCTTATATATTTTTTCTTATTTCTTCTTATATTTTTCTTATATTGATTTATCACCAAGATTTTTAAATTTAAACCGATCCGAGGACGAAACCATTTCCAAGCGACTTTCTAGTTAGGCTTAATCAGCGAATATCTCACTTTCCTCGAAACGCTGTTATTTGTGTGTCATACGAGGGATTTCCAATAGTCTAGTAGCTAGAATAATAACAATCATAACTGTGTGTTTTGCCTTCCAATTAGTGAGTACGGGGACCGCCAGGAATTTCATTTCATTTCCTACGTCACCATTTGTTGGTCTGCTAAAAATGGCGACCAACCTGAAGCGATACAAATTCTAATCTGGCATCCAAGCACACACACACACACACACACACTATACGGATATAGGTGTATGTATATGTAGTATGCTGCGAGCGGTAATTGCAGCGGCTGTAAGAGCAGGAACTGGTTTTTTTTTCTGTCATTCTTCGCCAACCGACTGCGACTGCTCAGCCCGCGGCGACTGAGACTGCGGTGGATCGGTCGGATATATAAGATAGTCGGGTGCTGGGATTCTGATTAGTCTGCGAGCGCCGTTTACAAGTACATAGCACGTTAAGTTGCCAGAGTGCGTATCAAGTTTTTTTTGGCTGCCCACCAAAAATCAAAAGTGAAACGCAAGTGAAGTGACCAAAAAGGAAGTTTTCAAACTGGTAGACTCACTTTAAAGTCAAAATTAATTAAAAATAAATAAAGGTCAAAATAAACGTGCTTAGTGTTAAACGGCCACAGATAAACATTTGAAAGAGCGAGATACAACAAACTGTTCAAATTAATCCAAGTAAAAGAATTTTTCAATACCCACGGTACGTATACGTGATAATCAATTATTTATTAAGATTCGGTAAACTTGCTTTCCCCAAATTAGCATGCAAATTGGTTTGGCATGCATGTTGGGGAGCTGTTAACAAAATAATTCTCGCGTAATTTAATGGTTAAATTAAGTTCCTCAGTATGTTACGAAACTTGCATCATTTCCGACAGAAATTACATAAAGTTTATTAAGCTGAGAATAATACAAAGAATAAAAAAGAACAACAAAAAAATGCAATTAGTTTTAGCTAAAAATTAATGGATAGAACAAAACTGTTTTCCCTCGCTTCACTCGACGGAGAATCTTTGTGGGCTAATGTTCTCCTTGTCATAATTGTTATTAATTATTCATTTTAGGGTTTTAAATTTCAGTTTGTTTTAAATGCCAAGATGAGACCTGCTTTGGATTTCAGAGCATTAAACCAGTTTAATAAAACTCGTCAAAATTTAAGGAAGTAAGCGAAAAGCTTAAAATAAAAAAGGAAACTTGATTTGCTAAACGGCTCATTCCTTGAGAATGCACTCGAAATGCAAAATGCAAACAGAACTCAAGGCGGGGCTGGGTTATAAAAGGTAATGGCACAGGGGGCAAATATAATTACCGCAGCTCTAAAGTCAAGATTGAAACCTTCCTTTTTCTTAGAATCCCCTTGCAATTACAGTTGTTATCTTAGCGTTTAGCACCTGGCTTGTTAGACAAACCATCGACATAATAAATGCTAACATAAGTATCCAGCAATTGACATTTAATTTGTCTTAGCGAGCTCAACAAATCGCTTGCCATACATCTGTGAACTGTTATTAAGAGCGGCCAACTTATGGTACCAGCCATAGCCAGCGGTGGTGATGGATTTATAATTGCAATTGAGTCATTGGCCAGGGCGATCGGCTATTAATTATGTTAAGTATGTGCTAAACGAGTGTTACAAGTGCTTTTTATGGTGCACAATTTGCATTTGCCGATTTGAACTGGGCACGCTAATGAGCACGAGAATTGATTCCCAGATTGACGTAAGATCTCTTTGCAGAGATCGTTAGTTTTTGCTGGATTCCTGTTCTTAAGTGCAGTTTTTTTTGTTTTTTTCTACATATGTATACGGCGACTTGTCATCCAATTGACTCACAATCGGAAATACTGCGGAAAACGACAGCGGTGGTGGGGAAAAATCCCCACTCAGGCAAAAAACAGATCACACTCACCGGGGACGACCCCCAATGTCGTGCAGATGCAGTGCGCCCCACCATGGCTTAAATTAGGCGCTTTTTACTCAATTAAGCAAATCAGTCACAGCAAAATAAAAAATAACAACAAAAAGAAAGAAAACATAGTAATACATCCAATAAAAGAGCAGATTCGGACTTTGGCAGGGAGAACAGATGTATTTTGATTTGACCACCTCCCACGACGGTTCGACAAATTAATTAGCCACGCTCTTTGGCATTGCGAGCGGCGGAAACATTTGAGATACTAGATAAACCCAGCGACCTTAGCCAATGTTGTTGATCTGGCAAGTGCAACAGCCAACTGACTACCAACAGTCATTCAACCCGGCCGAAACGCAGCCAATAATTATGTAAATTACAAATTACATGGCACTGGCTGGCTGATAATTATGGAACGATTTTCCAAAAGCGCCAGAACCTCAGTACATCGGCAGAAAACAATCTAACGCAAATGCAACCTTGGGCGGAAAATTGTAAGCAACTGTAAGAGTGTGTTTGTCGGTCTTAAATGCTTTTCAATCGAGCTACTGGCTACTGACTACTGGCACCTTAGTTTTTAATGGTTTTTGTTTTCGTTGATTTAATGGCAACAGGGGCAAAAGTAATAACATTAAATCAGCCGCATGGATTTCACCTCATCAACGGAGGCAGCGAAGGTGAACAGAAGTCGCTGGATGCATTAAATCGATGATGTGAAATGCCAAGAACCAAAGGGGCTCAAGAATGCACTCAAATGGCGGGACCAAAACAATGGACTTCATCAGCATTGTATGCAGATACGATATATGTGTACTTACTATATATGCTGCTGCAAACATATATATGGTATAGAGTAGGCAAACATCGCACAGGTTATGTATGCAAGTGAACAAACTAATTGGACTCACACGGCGCATACGTAATGGGCGCTTGGGAAATGATTTCTGCCCAGCCTTGAATTCGTTACGTATACGCCCCGTAAACCGTTGTAAATTACTTGGCTGCCAAAAAAATGTATGCCAGCCGAGAATCAGAACCAAGCAAGTCCAAAAACCAGAACCAGAAGCCAAGCCGCAACAATTTTCAGCTCTTTGATATTGCGCAATTGAAGTATAACTTGTTTTCGAACTTTGGAGCTGCCGCAATGGTTACAACTAGCCTCCACCTTCCACTTCCACTCCATTTCCTCCTCCATTGGAGAAGAAGCGGAAACAAATAAATAATTTATACAGCAGTGGCCCAAGAAGCTTCCTGACCACCTTGCTTTTCCCAGTGGCTAACGCCTTTTCTGCTTCCCCGATCCGGAGTCTATTTAATGAGGTCTCAAATCAAATGAAATCAAATTTTAAAACCAAATCAGAGATTAACATTAGCTAAGGCCAGGGGTACGGGTAATTGGCGTTCTTGGGCCAGCAGACTTACTGCTTGTCTTCATGTTTTGGATTAGAGCGCTTGACATTGGAGCCAAACAGAATCAGATATAGGTAGTAGACACTGTCTCGGACATACTCACACACACACCAGAAATGGTCGGCACAATGACATTTTAACTGGGTTTTATGACACGCCAATGGAACTTAACGAACATGAGCATAAGGTTGGCACAGCTTAAAGACCTCCAGCAATCTTGGGCCGGCGTTTGCCTCAATTTTATGGCGGCACGTCAAATAGGACGGAGACCGGTGGCTCGGGCAATTGGCTGGCTTAATGCAATTAACGAGAGTTAACATGCCGCATTCCGAGCGGTTGTTTAGGCTTCTAGCCAAGTCCAACGACCAAGCTATAAAATTTCAACAAATTAAATTCTTTCAAGACGAAGAATTTTTAGGTTAGTAACTTTGAAATAGAAATGTAATAAATATTTACATACTCCCATCAATATTATATACTAGACTTCCAAAGCCGGAAAACATCTCAATCTATAGTAGAAGCCCACATAGATTAAACCGACCGTAATTAGTATCGACAAGCAGGTGGCTATGCTAATGCATTAAGTAAAAATAAGTAAGCTGAAGGAGGGACTCTGGTATCATATTAAGCAAACCTGTAATGAAAGTATGACTGATAGGTTAGGGAAAAATATGGTGCTAAGCGTAGAGATAAAAACGTCGCCATAATTTAAAATTACATGTGGCTGTTGCTAAGCATTTAAGTAGCAATGAAAAACCAAATAAAAAAGTTGCATTTTGCTACTAATTTTAATTAACCAAGTAGTCTGGAAGATATTTCTTGAAGTGTGGATAAGATATCGGTAGATGTTCTTCTAAACATTTATCTTGGAAAATAAAAATTGATTTTAATATGTATGCATTACGTCGATAAATATAACCATTACCTGCTTTGAATACTCATATATAAATAATTTGCATTCTTGTAAAGAAAAAAGATTAATAAAAATTCTTATCGCCCCTAAACCAACAATTAGTAAGTCATTAAAATAGCCAACTAAATTCTATTCTAATTATCATCAATTTTCTACAGCTTAAGAGAATATTATTTAATTAACTTAATAATGCTCACCAGAAGTCATCCATTTAAGCCAAGTCCAGTACTCATTCATTATAATGGTTTATTGTGTGAGAGCTCCATTAACACAAAGTGTTATAAATATGCATGTATGAATGAATTTAATTGCCGCTACAAGGCAATAAGCCAATAACCCGCATTGCATAATAAAAGTTAGAAAAGATGATGCAAGTTAGGGAATCTCCGAGTGATATGCTAAGTAGAATGAAATCCTAATTGATTTTAGCTTAAAATTTGCATATTTAGTGTTTATTTTATAATACTTGTTTTTAAATCCCTTCACAGTTAAAATAAAATAAAGATGGGTTCGTTGCCACAATTGTCGATTGTTAAGGGTCTGCAGCAAGACTTTGTGCCGAGAGCCCTGCACCGCATCTTCGAGGAGCAGCAGCTGCGGCATGCCGACAAGGTGGCTCTGATCTATCAGCCGGACACTCCAGGACACGGTATGGCGCCCAGTCAGAGCAGCTATCGCCAGATGAACGAGCGGGCAAACCGAGCAGCTAGGCTCTTGGTAGCCGAAACCCATGGCCGCTTCCTGCAGCCGAACAGCGATGGCGACTTCATCGTTGCCGTATGCATGCAGCCCTCTGAGGGACTGGTCACTACACTGCTGGCTATCTGGAAGGCTGGAGGAGCATATCTCCCCATCGATCCCAGTTTCCCGGCGAACCGTATTCACCACATCCTGCTTGAGGCGAAACCCACTTTAGTGATACGCGACGACGACATCGATTCTGGGCGTTTCCAGGGAACTCCAACACTTTCCGCTACGGAACTGTATGCGAAATCCCTTCAGCTGGCTGGTTCCAATCTACTCTCAGAGGAAATGCTACGCGGTGGTAATGACCACATCGCCATTGTACTTTACACCTCGGGCAGCACGGGTGTTCCAAAGGGAGTACGGCTGCCGCACGAGAGCATCCTTAACCGGCTGCAGTGGCAGTGGGCCACTTTTCCGTATACGACCAATGAAGCAGTAAGCGTTTTCAAGACGGCTCTTACCTTCGTGGACTCGATCGCCGAACTGTGGGGTCCGCTGATGTGTGGTCTAGCCATTCTGGTGGTACCCAAGGCTGTAACTAAGGATCCACAGCGATTGGTAGCCCTGCTGGAGCGTTATAAGATCAGGCGCTTGGTGCTGGTACCGACTCTTTTGAGATCGCTGCTTATGTATCTGAAGATGGAAGGAGGCGGAGCAGCTCAGAAACTCCTTTATAACCTGCAAATATGGGTCTGCTCCGGGGAACCCCTATCCGTGGCTCTTGCCAGCAGCTTCTTTGACTACTTTGATGAGGGAGTGCACCGGCTGTATAACTTTTACGGATCTACAGAGGTGTTGGGCGATGTCACCTTCTTTGCCTGCGAGAGCAAGAAGCAGCTGAGTCTGTACGACAATGTGCCTATTGGTAAGGTTAATCCCTGACTCTTAGCTTCCAGTTTATGAACCAAGTCTTAATTCCTCATCTAATAGGCATACCTGTTTCGAATACGGTTATTTATCTTCTGGATGCTGACTATCGCCCGGTGAAGAACGGCGAGATTGGTGAAATCTTTGCTTCGGGGCTCAACTTGGCTGCTGGTTATGTCAACGGACGCGATCCCGAGCGCTTCCTAGAAAACCCACTGGCTGTGGAAAAGAGTAAGTTTGCCATTTCTATATGTGACCATTGTTAAGGCTATATTTCGGATGATATAGTTTTCCTAAAACACTGGAACGGAACTTTGGAATCTTTTCACTACAGTTTTTAATCGACTTATCCGTTTGTCTTTCTAGAATACGCTCGTCTCTATCGCACTGGCGATTACGGATCCTTGAAGAACGGCAGCATTATGTACGAGGGACGCACCGACTCCCAAGTAAAGATCCGTGGACATCGCGTTGACCTTTCCGAGGTGGAGAAGAATGTAGCCGAGCTCCCGCTCGTGGAGAAGGCCATCGTTTTGTGCTACCATGCTGGACAGGTAGATCAGGCTATCCTGGCGTTTGTTAAGCTCCGCGATGACGCACCCATGGTCACCGAGATGCAGATGGAGGCGCGCCTCAAGGACAAACTGGCCGATTACATGACGCCCCAAGTGGTCATTTTGGAGCACGTTCCGCTTTTGGTGAACGGCAAGGTTGATCGTCAGGCGCTACTTAAAACCTATGAGACGGCCAACAACAATGAAGGTGACTCTAGCATTGTCCTGGACTTTGATTATTCCCAGGTACCCGAGGATCTGAAGCTCACGGCTCGGGATCTCTTCGAGACAGTGGGTGGAGTAATTGGTCGCTCTACTAGGGCAACTTTGGCTCCACACAGTAACTTCTATGAGCTGGGCGGCAACTCCCTGAACTCCATCTTCACGGTGACCCTGCTGCGCGAGAAGGGCTACAACATTAGCATTTCCGAGTTCATTGCGGCCAAGAATCTGGGCGAAATAATCGAGAAAATGGAAGCCAATCATGATGCAGTGCAGCTCGAAGAGGAGACCTTGAACGCCTGTCCCCATCTAAAGATGGAGGCGGTGCCTCTACGCCTGGAGCACCGTCAGGAAGTCATCGAGTGAGTTTACTGATAAATATTTCGAACACTTCAAATTTGAATACTAATTACTTAACACCTTTTGCAGCATCATTGTGGCTAGCTTTTACAATAAGGCCGACCTGGAGCAATGGCTCAAACCTGGAGTTTTGCGAACCGATTACAGCGATATCCTGAACGTGAGTTGATCATTTTATACCCCGAAATTTTATATAGCTAAATATTAATCTCGTTATAACTCTGAAGGATATTTGGAATGTGTTGGTGGAGCGGGATCTTAGTTTCGTGATCTACGATCGGAACACGGATCGCATCATTGGCACAGCGCTGAACTTTGATGCGCGGAACGAGCCCGAGGTGGACATCAAGTCCAAGCTGCTCATTGTCTTCGAGTTCCTTGAGTTCTGCGAAGGTCCAATTAGGTAAGTTAGCCTTTCAATCACCCCTACTCCGTTTATTTACTCAATTCGTATCCTTAACAGGGATAACTACCTGCCAAAGGGCCTCAACCAGATCCTGCACTCGTTTATGATGGGCACCGCCGAGAAACTGAATCCCCGTGAGAACATCGCCTGCATGCACTTCATGGAGCACGAGGTGCTGCGGGTGGCCCGTGAGAAGCAGTTTGCCGGCATCTTCACCACCAACACCAGTCCGCTGACGCAACAGCTGGCCGACGTCTACCACTACAAAACGCTCCTCAATTTCCAGGTGAACGAGTATGTGCATTCCGACGGCAGCCGTCCCTTCGGAGATGCTCCAGACGAGCAGCGCGCCATCGTCCACTGGAAGGAGGTAGCCAAGTAGGACAACCCGGTGGACTTGTCACCAAACCAGATCTGCAGCGAATTTATCACGCACCACGTATTATATTTAACTAGGATATCGTACCACCTAGTATTAGCCCTAGGCATAGTGTAACTTAGCGAGAAGTTTCGTAAGTTTGTGTTGACTAGTTGTAAGCTTCCGATTTCGATACAATTAAAGAAACAACAATCGATAATTAACGACAATGTTGATTGATTCCACAGGCAATCACTTGACCGTGGGCCAGACACTTTCCAATAATTGATAGAAATTCCTAATCCAAGTTGGATTGTTGAGATACTTGAGTTACTTGTCTTGTAACAGAAAATTCTTAAATCAATTCCCATGTAATGTCACAATGTCTTTGAAATTCCAGTTAGACTAAGAATTCATGGTAATCAAATTGATCAACTGATCGAGTGTTTGGGTATTTAAATTGAAGTTTGCATGACCCACATTTACCAACTTGAGAGTAATGAAGTACCAACGTTATTTTAAACATTTAAGCCATAAATACATATGCTAGTTTTATTGTTTGTCTATTACACACTTCAAGATTTAAGTTAATTTTGCTGTGGTTGCTGCGGCTCATACATATATATCTATATCTCTATATATTTTTATTGGATTTCTAATGAATAACGAGCGCCGATCAGCGTCTCTAAATTTTATGCTGCTTGGTAAGATAATTACACACTTTTTACTCGACAATAATTACATAAGCTAGATACACTATATATATGCAGATTTGAAATGCATGAGTGTGTGCATATGTTATGTGTGTGTGTGTGCTTATGTGATCTGTCCGAACGTTCACTTCTGGCCCATCCGCCCTTCCAACTGCTCTCCAGTGAAGCGTTCAGACAGAGATGAATATGTCTGTGTGCTTCGATGGATGGATGATTGGGTGCTTGTTTGTGGATGTGTGAACGGGCATGTTTAATAAATGTTTAAGCGCTAGCCTTTACTACATACTAAACAACTGTACAGCTAATTTACCTTAATTATTAAATAGTTTCATTATTTCCATCAATTCTTAGGGCGCTTTGCTGACTGCGGGAGGGCTGAGGGTGGGGAAAGGAGAGAGGTTTTTAGTAGCCTAATTAGGGGCGGCAACGAAGCAGCCCGTGCAAAACGGATGACAAATCAAAAAATATAATCCATAATCCATATACGCAAGTTCGGCTTCAGCCTGGCTGTTCATGTTCACTTGGTGCTGCGAACTATGCGTATGACCCTTGTGGACTATGAGGCGGCACTCTGATCCTGTAGCCTGTAGTTCTGGAATGTCTTCCACTCGCCGGTGTTGTAGTCCAGCCGGATGTGCGACTCAACCAAGCACAGTGCAGTGTTGCCGTCCTCCTGTCGAACTTTTTCCTGCGAAAATTAAAAAAAAAAAAATATTACTTCGTGATAAGAACAAAAAAGAACAAATTTAAAAAAGCATTAGACTTGAAATTAAAATTCAATTCCAAAAGAGTTATGTTCCGAATTTATAGTTGTTCATCTTATTTTGGATTTACATTCGAACACACAAATAACCTTACCTCTGTTTCGCCCAATTTGATGACCAGCACATTTTCGGTATTTGGGCGCGGGTTCTCGCGTAGACCCGCCATAAATCCGAGAATAAGGGCTTTGTCCGGTCGCGAGACGCGATTTGCCTTGCGGAACATTTCATGTGCCTTATGCACGTGCTCGTTCTAAAAGAACGTACAAAGGTTAAATCAGGTTAAGACATAACTAATATAGTGAGCTTACAGAAAGCGAAAGACCACGACGCTGTGGTGCCTGCTGCGTCTGTTGTTGCGCAGCTTGCTGCTGCTGTGGTTGCTGCTGCTGGGCCTGCACCTGAACTTGGACAGTGCGTGCGATGCCGGCGTTTGGATTGCCCGGCTGGCCACCGCTGGTTGTGGAGGTGACCAAACGCTGCTGCAAGGTCGGAGCCGGCTTTTGTTGAACCAGTATTTGTTGCTGCTGTTGACGCGGCTGCTGTTGCGACGCCGGCGACGCCGTGTTCGATTGAGTAATAATCGTACGCTGCGTACTGCCCGGCGCCGCTTGCACCTGCACCAGCTGCGGCTGCTGGCCCGGCCGTTGTATTAGCGTAAGGCCCTGCGGCAGCGTGGTCAAGCCTCCCCCAACGTTGGTCATCACAGGCCGAATAATTGTCTGTTGCTGGGACTAAAATAAATATTATTAGTTTTTCAGATGTTAAAAAGAATAATAATCTATGGATAGATGCTCAGCTTATTACACTTACATTGCCAATGACGTTGGTGGGTTGTTGCTGCTGCACAATGACGTGCTGTCCACCAAGCGTACTGGTTGGTATCAATGTGGGCAGGATCTGTTTTCCTGGCTGTTGCTGCTGCAACTGTACACCACTTGAGGGTGTAGTCTTCACCAGACTAGGCGGTCCAGCCGTGGTGGTCATCAGCGTTGTGCTGCCGAGACCCTGCAGGTTGCCCACATTGCTAATGGGTATTTGCTGGTACATGTCGCCGCCAATGTTGCGCAGTATAACGCCCTTCTGAGTCAGAATGATGGTCTTGTTCTTTCCGGACGTAGGGGACACGTTTAGAGCTGACACGCCACTGGCGCCTACTGCCCCAGTTGGCTGCATCAGGACCTGCGACAACTTTGGCTGCTGTGTTGCCGTTGTATTGGCCACGATCGTGTGTTGCGGATGTGGTTGTTGCTGCTGCATCTGGGCCTGCATATGCTGCTGCTGAGCAGCTTGAGAAGCTGGTTGGATTGTCACTGGCCGATTGGGTAGCTGCACGTTTTGAATATTCAGGGTGTTCGTCTGTCCGGGAGAAACCATTGCCGCTGATGTGGCCACCAGGGGCGGAGGATTCGAGGACACCATTGTGGTAGCCTGCTGCGGTTGGGCCTGGCGAAGAGGTGTCATCACCACACTCGACGAGCCCGAGGTTTTTAGCAATATCTTGGTGGGTGTCTGGCCATTTCCACCAGGAGTTGTGGCTTGGTAAACCGTCGTTGTCTGCGGCAAAGGACGACTGTGTGCGAACGAGGTAAGCGTTGGCAACATGGGCTGTTGCTGCTGAATCTGTTGCGGTTGTTGTTGGGGTGTTGCCAGTATGTACTGCGTCTGTGGCTGCTGCGACTGCTGTGGCAGCTGTGCCTGCTGTTGCGTCTGCTGTTGGATTTGCTGGTGCAACAGCTGCTGCTGCTGTTGTTGCTGCTGCTGTTGAGAAGCGGCCGCTGCACTCGAGGTTCCAGCCTGTTGTTGGGCACGCTTCGCCGGTTGAATAATGGTCTGCGATATGATCACCGGACCGCTGTTGGTGGCCGTCTTCAGCTGGCTCAGAGGCATCGTTTTTATGGCTTGCGACGGTATCGTCGTGGTAGTGGTGGGGGTGGTACTGCTACTGGGCATGGCCAATGCCTTCTGTAAGCAAACAGATTAAAGTCGATTAGTAAACTATATTTTAAATCTTTATATAAGTTATGTATAATTATATAATTAGCATAAGCAACGTCCGCATATCTATTAAAAACAAAAATTCTATAATAAGTACTTACCGCTCTTTGAGCGCTAGGCGAGGATGCCAAGATAACGGGCGTTGAGCTGTTGATCAGAAGCGGGGGCTGTGACTGCTGTGGTGTCTGCTGAAGCTGTACCGTTTGCGGCTGCTGCGTCTGGGTCTGGCTGCCACTGGGTGCTGCTGCTGCGGCAGCCGCTGCTTTCGCCTTGGCAGAGGTTATCTTTACAGAGATATTATTGGGTAAATTGGCCAACGGATTGGCAGCCTGACGCAGTTGCTGCGGGGTGAGAAGCGTCGTCATAGTGCCCGCACTCGTTGAGGGCGAAACGCCGGTGGCTCGTAGCATAGGCTTGATGTCCAACTTTTCCATTTTAATAGTGGTATTGCCCACTGTGGTGGTGGTGCCTGTGCTTGTAGTGGCTCCATTATTTTGCCGCTTCTGCGGCGAACTGCGAATGAGCAGGTGCGGGGTGCGTTGAACCAAACTAGGCGGCTGCTGCTGGATGATAACGCGTTGCTGCTGTCCCTGCGTCGACGGAGAAGTCTCGATCTTTTCCAACTTTATATTGGCGGGGACTATTATCTCCTCGCTCTTGATCTCGATCTCCTGCTTGATTCGTTTTGGGGTGTGATTGAAGCTGTTGTTATTGTTGTTTACCTTCGCTGCGGATTTTGGAGCACGAGGCGTCTTCAACTTGACCTCTGCTGTGGGTTTTCCGGGTTGGATATCCGCTACGGATGTTGTATTAGCCTGGGCAAAGTCTAGAGTGGCTGTAGCGTACTCCGGTGTCTCGGGGTCGCATTCCATGGCTGTTTTGCCAGTCAACTCCTCGTCCTGTGGTTCTTCCAGGCTTCCAGAGCTCTGGTTGAGTAGTTGTGGTTCCATTTTGATTTCGAAACTGTTGTTAGCCGACGTTGGCGTGACTGGTGTTTCTCCTCCACTGGCCGTGGCACCGTCCGTTGGCGAACTGTCGCCAGTATTGGTTGCCGCTGCTGTGGCCGCAGCAGCAGCTGCTGCCGCCGCCTGTTGCTGCTTTTGTTCCTGTTTCTTTTGCTGTTCCTCCAGTTGCTGTTCGCGCTTCCGCTTCTTCGCTGCCGCATAGCCTAATGGCTGTTCGGTGAACTCGATCAGCTTAATGCCACCATCCTTGCGACCAGCGGGCGTGCGACTGAGATTGGGTCGCTGGGCGGCATTTCCCGGCACAGTGGCCGAGCGAAATCCCGTAGTAGGCATCCGCGATGGGATTCCCTTAAGCGGAGTGGTGTCCGTCATCTTGCGGGGCATGCCACGAGATCGCAATGGAATCGTTGGTGCCGAAGCCTTCTTAAGAGAAGACTGGGCATCCGCGGACTTGTGCAGCAGCTCTGTGCGCAGCTGGGCACTCTTGGGCTTTCGCTTCAGCGTGAAATGCTTCACGGGAGCGGGCTGCTGGCCCACCTATAATCAAAAAACATAATTAGTTAAGCTTAGGTACTAACTTTAGTAGTTTGTATACCCACCACTGAGATCAGCGCGTTCTTGTTTAGGTACTGGCACTCAAGGGGCAGCATGCCCAGGTCCGAGTGCTTGGTAACCAATCTGCGCAGGTCGTTGACCATGTCTGTGAAGATGGGACGCGTGTCCTCGTAGTCGGAGATCTCTGTGTTCAGCGAGCTGGTGGCCGGGAAGGTCTTCATCGTCTCCGCTAGCATGGAAACCCATAGCTCTGAATCCAAACCGGCCACCTCGATCACCTCTTCAAGCTCCGCCTTCCACTGCAAAGCGCATTGAAATTTTCAATTAGTGGAGAAGTTAATATGGGCACACCGAGGCCTTAATACCCTTGCAAATAGAGTTTATTAAAAAACATAAAAGTCGGATTATGATACTATTTAGCGTTTGTTATTAAAGTCTATTCTTATTAGCTTTATATTCAAACAGGTGATACACAAATGAATCAATCCTCATTTAAAAAATAATTTAATTGTCTTATATTATATTATAAATCACCAAATTATCTTCTTTACTGTGTCACAAAAGTCTGACAAAATTCAAAATACTCCCTGCGAAGGGTATAACAAACAAATGAATCCGCGAGCCACCCACAACAGCCCACTCTCACATACGCACACACACACCAAGATTCGCGAGAGAGAAATACACGCACAAGTGTAAAATTGAGAAATGTGTACACAAAAGTAGAAGTGGCGGGAAACGTTGCTAATATTTATTTTCACCAGTTAGCGAAATCAACCGCTTTTTAATTGCAAAAAAAACTGAGAAATACACTTTGTAGCACCCTCCAGCTGATGGGATTTATAATAATAGTTAAGTATTTACACATTTTCCGCACTTTTTCACCAACAGCAAGTGTACGCTGTATACGTGTGCGCGCGGGTGGCTGTGTGCGTATGTGTCTGTATGTGCGTTTGCACTGGTGTACTTTTTTTCCATACACCAACGCCATTTGATTCGATTTGATTTTATTTCTTTTGATTTACCTCCTCCACCAGACGGCGCGGAATGTGAAGGAAACTGAGGAGAAGCTTCAGCTTAACCTGCGTCTGCAGATCGGGAAAACATTCCTTGATGTTTCGTAGCACCTCCTTGTTCAGTTGCGAGCAGATGGAGCCGTTTATCCACGAGTCGTTCGAGGTGCCCAGTTTATTATGCAGCCACAGTGATGTGTCGCTGTCCCTTACGTTCGCCATTTTTTAACGCTTACGCCTAACCGCACGCGGGGCACACACTGCTCTTTATGCCAAACGCTGACCCGCCCTGTTGCACGGCACTGTTTTATTGCGTTTTTCACTTTCCGCCGCGCTGCACGTCAACAAAACACACGGAAAATCCTTCGAAAAAATTGTAATAGGAAGCGCACGCACACATCAAACGCACGAAAAAAGTGTTGCCACATGTCAAACAGTGTGCACAGCACAGTGTTGTAAAGCGCCGCCGTTAACAGCGCCCCGCACAGTGCGACCGTATGGTGCAGGACTGGAAAATGTCGATTAACTATCGATTCATTTCTTACGATTGATGGTTTTTTGGTGGCAGAGAGGCGGCAGAGAAAATTAATACCGAAAGGTACGCCGCCTGTTCACTGATCTAAAAATGAACAACAGCTGATTGAAATGGAACTCATGAATGAAGAAGTACCAAAAACCATTTCCAAATCCCCGAAAAGTGGCATGTCCACGGGTGGCAAAATACTGATAGCTGCTACGGGTGGTGTCGGCATTGGGCTATCGATTGTGTGCGCCTCCTTTGTGGCTCCCGCATTCCGGAGGATTTGCTTGCCGTATGTTCCAGCTACCACCGAGCAAATACAGAATGTCCTTAGCTTTCTGCCCAAAAACGCGGGCGGTAAACTGTTGGACATTGGTTCCGGAGACGGGCGCATCGTAGTGGGTGAGTTGGTGTCACTAGTTGTATCTCGTAAAACACCAACAATTATGTAATCCCCTCCAGCGGCGGCACAGCACCATAAAGCTTTAAGGACAGACGGCGTTGAACTGAATCCATGGCTGGTCTATTACTCCCGTCTGAATGCACTACGACATGGCGTCTCAAAGCAAACTAGATTCTTTCGGCGGGATCTCTGGAAGTTTGATATCAAAGACTACAACTTCGTTGTCATTTTCGGCGTGGAGCAAATGATGCAAGACCTAGAGCACAAGCTGATCGCTGAGTGTCCGCACAACACAAAGATTATTGCCTGTCGCTTCCCACTGCCCAACTTGGAGCATGTAAGGATAATCGAGGATGGAGTAAATACAGTGTGGTTCTATGACCTCAACAAAAGTTAGCGCAACAGTTATTAAATTGGTATTTTTATTGTTTTCCACGTTAAGAAAACGATGAGATAAATGCTAAAAGGGCTGGTCAGTAATACAAACTTTTACCTTAAGGGAATACAAAAAAGGACGAGGTCGAGACGAGAGAGGCTAGCGCTGCTAGCCGGAATACCAAAGATAAAGGAACATTAAAAGTGGAGGCAGTGGAGCTGGCATCCAGAAACGCTAGAAACGACGACCCATATAAATGCATTTGCTTGCTTCCTCACGATAGACATCCACAAAACCAATTCTTGAGTAAAAATTCACCTGGCCAACGTCTTGCTCGGGGACACACACGTGAGCTCCAAAACAACCATTCGCTCGCAGGGCAGCCAAGAGCACGGTGAGCATCCGCTTGGTAATACCAGAGTCCCTCCCCTCTGCCTCTCTCAAAGTTCCCGAGATCAGGACGGCCGGAAATGAGCCGCTTACCTCTATCGGACACTGCTCTAGAGCCAAGTTGCCGCTTATGCCATGAATCTTGTCCACAAATGAAGTGACAAGCTGCATTACCTCCTCGTCACCCTCCTGTGAACAAAGATCCTTGGGGTATTTCTCGCGCAGCTCGGTGAACCAGCAAAGATCCAGGTTACGCCGGAATATGTTGACGTCCAAGGCCGCACAGGAATAGCCAATTATACTGTTATTCTCATCGTAGGCAACAATACACAGCTGAGGACTGAGGGTGAGATGTCCACCTATCAGTCCATCCGCCACGATGTTAGCCACATTTCCTGGCAGAGGAAACTGTATGGGATTGCCTCCGTCCACCTCTTTTTGCCACTGCAAATACAAACGGGTGCACACATCGTTGACGTTCTGCTCGTCAGAGTTGCAGTAGGGCCGGAGAAGATAATAGTTCGCTGTGGGTTGTTCAGGAAGCTTGTACACAAAAAGGTCGTTTCCCGAATCCACGGGCATTAGGCGCTGCAAATCCGCAATGAGCCCGCCTCTAAATACCCACGGCTCCTGGTCACCAGACATGAAAGCCTCCTTCCATCCTTTGCTAAACCCTGAAAGTTTTTCAATATATTGCCATATTACAGCTTGGAATACCCTAATGAAATACGATTGCACTCACAAGTATAGCTGCCCTCTGTGTAGGAAGACGTGTTTTGTGGGAAATGACCAAGAGCCAGCCACTTGACATAGCAGTTGAGCAGGGAAAGGGCTCCAGAGATATCCCACACATAAGAATACAGCTCATGGCAGATCTCCTTATTCTCACAGTTAGCGATTTTGATCAGCAGCTTTACAACGGCGCCACACAGTTCGTCAAACTGTTCACACCGATGGTTCCACTCGCTGACCTCCGGTTTAGTTGCCTTGATTCCATCGTTTCCGCCAGCAACAGAACGGTCCTGCAGTATCACATTGGCGTTGGCCTTTAACCAATTGAACTCAATCAGCAGCTTTAGGCCACGGCTACCGTGTTCAAAAGGTAAATAAAACAAATCGCAGAGCAGACCCAGATCGTCAACGGTTATTCTTTCACCGACGGTTATACTAGAAGGAGAAACATTTTTAGCTATAGAATTTTTCGTAAAGTTTCTTACTTATTTTCGATGATCCTATCGGACTGAGCTTCGTTTTCTTCGCGCATCTCCGCATTTGATATCGGCGATGAAGTTCCACTCTCCACATGCATACTCTAGAAGACAAAAAGTAGAATAAGTAATAGTTTCCCAGATCCAGAATTAAACGTACATGCACATCGTTCACAGATTCCATAAGAATATCGTCGGCCACCAGTTTAGTTATCTCTTCCTCCCTTGGAGAGACCTGAGAGGCTATGCTGCTGCTACACTCCATGGGCTCATTGACTCCGCCACTCATTGGACTCAGACTGGCATCATCCAGCATTGCGTCGACAATAAGACTGGCCACCGCTTCGTGCTTATCCTCTAAGTCCACCTCTACTTCAAGCCGCTCCTTTGTCGAATCATTTTTTGTTTCAATTTCATTGTCGTTAAACGCGGCATTGTCCAGATCCACTTCCACAGATGCTTCTACACTTTTCGTTTCCATAATGGGCACGGGAACAACGGAGATGGGTATCTTTTTGGGCAGTTCAATGTTGCTGGCAGCTGTGGTCGGAATGGGATTAATTATCTCGTCGTTCGTGATCACTTTTGTAGGCGACACCAACGAATTCATCACTGGATTTGAGATGGGTGTCAGGGAGGAGGTCACAACGCTGTAATGATTGATTTAACTTGTAATAATTCCGTTTGCACAGGACATAACTGTTATTTACCAAACGTCAGCCAAGGCTTGCAACTGGGTGGTGTTAACCTCTGGAACCGTCCTCGAACTCGTCGAAGTGGTTGTGGTAGTGGTGAGACTCATGCAGGTGTTAATGGAAGGTATAATGGGAATGATAGGCATGACCATTTGAACTTGCGGTTGGGGCTTGGTTATGGGTCCCCAGGCCTCCTTTTTCATAAAGAATTCCGGCAGCCATTCCGTAATAGCGTTCCTTTAAAATATTCAAAAGTAGCTAGTTTGCTTAAATGTTGCTGTCAAATTCACTCACTTTAGAGCCACGCGCGGGTGGTAAACGTTCTTTGAAAGAAACTCCGTCGGAAGGTCATCCTCGTTTTCAGTCTCCAGTTTTATGTCCGCGCTCAGCGAGCTGTTCACCTTGGAGTCCATCTTGCAGCGCGACCAGAAGGCTAGTGAGTGAATGGCAACAAAATTTCCGTAAAACTCGCAGTTTGGATTGGTCATAACACCCCGAAGATGCGGGATCAACTCCGGCGAGCGACCACTATAAGGTCCTAGAAAGACGCGTTTCTGGTCGTAGTCGTTGGCATGCAGATTATCCCAGATACACGGTGGACGACGCAGCACCTCAGTAATTTCTCGAATCGACTCAAGCGATATGGTCTTCGAGATAACCTTATCTCCAGTCCAGAGAATGTCGATCTCATTATTCAATTTCGAGCCTAGGGTGTTGAGGTACTCCGACTCCTGAACGGTGGGCACAGCCCGCGAGGCGCAGTACTGGGTCGGACAGAAAAGAAATTTGGGGCTGCCCAGGTGCGAGTATATCTCATTGGTCACCGAGACGTGGGCGTTGGCAAAGGTCTGGAAGACCTCCTTGTCCGCCTTCGAGAGCTCTGACTCAATGTCGTCGAACAACAAGGCGTATGCTTCACAGCCAAACTGCGAAACCTGATCCAGCTTTCGTTTTAGCGTGGCTATTTCCTTTGGACTGCTGTAGGTCATGTCCAGTCCGGGCGATAGGGCGTAGTAAAAGGTGATCCCCGCTTCCTTGGCAGCCGCGATTAGACCTAAAATGAAATAATTTTACCGGAGGATTTATACAGTTCAAAGGTTAGTTACTGGACAGGTGATCCGCCTCCTCCACGGTGTACAGCTCTCTCCAGTAGGCGCGGTGCTTGTAGTCGTCTTTCGGCGCGTACATGTACGACGGACTCGAGCCCAGACCCATGGACTTCAGCTTTCGGAATAGGTCCTTCCGCTGCTCCGTGGTCCACGGCCGGCCGTAGAATCCCTCGATCACGCCGCATATAAACTGCCGTTGGCCATCGGCCTGGGTGCCCGCTTCATCTGCCATTTTTAAAAGGCCAGGGATTCGGATGTGGCGATTGGACAGAACCGAATAAGTCTTATTTTCTTCTCAGGATTTATATATCGATAGTCTTATTTTCTTCTAAAAATGTATATATCGAAAAGACCGGACAATGTACACCCCCGAGATATCGATTGCTTAAGGAAATCGATGTTCAGATACTCATCTTAATTTTATTGCCGATGCAACCCAATTTAACATAATAATTTTTACTACTAAGTGGGAAATTCCTTATTTATACTTGCCTGGGAAATGTGACTGGAAACGCTAGTTGCAAGGACTTTTATAATTAAAGGATATATTTCCAACCGTTCAAAGTTGCCGGATGAGCAAATAACCTAATCAGTTTGTTAAATGTCTCAAATTGTAGGAAATTAGATAGTCCAAGGAGTTCAAAGTACAGAAGATAAAGAAGTTGTAGCAGCTTAATATCGAGTGAAAGAACATTTTTGTTTATAACATATCAAATAAAACGGTGATTTGCTAAACTTTTAATCTGAATTTTTTTAACGGTTTTTGGTATTTTTTTGATATGATGAGCCTTTTGGTATATTTTATCGTCCACACTGCGCCACACGTGCAAGAAAGAAAATAACAAACTGCAAAACGCCGAAATAAACAACAATGAACCACTTTGAGATTCGGGAGATACCCGGAAAGGTAAATTTTGTGCTAGGAGCCTTACACTTCTAACGACAGATTTTCACAGGGCCGTGCCATGATCGCAACCAAGAACTTTGCGACGGACGAGGTGATCTTCGAGGAGGAGCCCTTTGTGTCTCATCAGTTCTCCTGGAACGTGGCCTACGGTTATGCGGCCTGTGATCACTGTATGCGACCGCTGGAGACGGTTTTGGAGAATGTGCGCCGGCTGGCCAGCGACCCCCGAGTGGAAGTCCCTCTGCTGCAGCACGATCCAACAGCCCAATGGGTGGCGCAGTTTACCCAGTGCCCGCGATGCAAAGTGCGCTACTGCTCCGAGGACTGCCTAATGGAGGCCCAGAAGCGCTACCATCGCGTAGCCTGCATGGGCGCTTTTCGCTCTGACGACACACATCCTATCAATGTGCTAAACGAAACCTGGAAGAAGATGCATTATCCGCCTGAGACGGGGAGCATAATGCTAATTGTCCGCCTAATGGCTCTTTATCAGCAGAGTTCCAAAAAGGCCGAGTTCCTCGAACAACTGCAATCTTTTCAGGCACTGATAGTTAATCGCGAACAGAAGATATATCACAAAATGCTGGGTGAGAATTTCGAGCAGCAGATGGAGCAACTGTATTTAGCTTTTTGCAATGCCTTCTCTGGCGAGGAGTTCTCAATGGTATGCTCTAAATTAGATAAGCCTTAAAGTGTATCTAAATCCTTGTTTTCCAGTTCCGGTCACCGGATGCGTTCAAGACCTTAATGGGTATTATGGGCACCAATAGCCAGGGGATCGCAACGAGCGTGCTTTCCCAATGGGTCGCCAAGGTTTCCGACTTACCTCTTCCGGATGCGGACAAAGCCCAGCTGGACACTGTCATTGATGAACTCTACGCCAAAGTCGGAGAATGTAAATATCCCAAATAATATCTAATGAGTAATATATCTTGAAACAATAATTTATTCAATAGTTGCTGGCGAATTCTTGAACAACGAAGGCTCTGGTCTTTACCTTCTTCAGAGCAAAATTAACCATAGTTGCGTGCCGAATGCCTGCTCCACTTTTCCATACTCCAACGATATTGTTGTGTTGAAAGCCCTGGCCCCAATCCAACAAGGTGACGAGATCTGCATCTCCTACCTGGACGAATGCATGCTGGAGAGGAGTCGTCACTCGAGGCACAAAGTCCTGCGCGAGAACTATATATTCGTGTGCCAGTGCCCCAAGTGCAGGGCTCAGGCTTCCGATCCTGATGAAACGAGTGAGGACGAGGACGACGATGAAATGGACGATTACGATGATGACGATGAAATGAACTAGGCTAAGATACTGTTCTTAATACAGCGATGTATTTATTAGAGTAGTAACCGACTCTAATATATGTATGTATAGATTATATAGAATATATGTTAAAGATTTTGGAGAAGAGTAGAAATGTGTCTATATGCTGAAAAGTTATGAAAACGAATTGGTCATCATAAAATGATGATGAGTTTATAAAACTAAAGTCCCAGTAAATCTTATATAGAATATAACACTTTTTAATAAATTGCTAAAAAGTTTTTGAACATAGACCATAAATTTACTTAAAATTTGAAAAATAACTGATTTTTGTTCTTACCATTTTAACAGCACATTCTTTTGACAGTAAACACTCAACTGATCATTAATATTTAATAAAATACAAAGTTTTATATGGTTAATGCGCCTATATGTTAAAACCATCTTTTCTTAATAAATCGCATGAGAATTGGTTACTTTAAATGCATGAAAAACACTTAAATTAGTCATCACCCCCATCCACTCCTGGCCATGGAAAACGTTTTCCAACACTTCGTTATCAATAAGCTTTGCACTGCGATCCGCTTTGTGTGGAGTAAATATTTCAACAAGTCGTGCAAAAATACGTATTTGGAAAGTTTGACTCAAATGTCTTTCAAAATGCAGAAGATATTAATTTACCTGGTCCTGCTCCTGGGTATCCTGCACACCACTTGTGGAATGTTCTTCCAAATGTTCGAAAAGGAGCGAAAGTGCTTTATCCAAGAAACTCCCGGCGATACAGATGTTGTTGGTAGAGTCTAAAACATTCCTTAAGCGGCTAGGCATCTCTGACTGCTCAACTTTGCATCATTTTAGTCGAGTATAAGATGGAGGTGGTGGACCCCAGATCAGGCGGCTTTATGCCAATGCCCTTCGGTGTCGGGATGCACGTGGATATTCGGGACAGCGATAACAAGATAATTCTGAGCCGCGTCTATAATTCAAAGGCCTGTCTGAAATTTACAACCTACTGGCCTGGAGACCACCGGATTTGCTTGCAAACCAACAGTTCCGCCTTTTTCCAGGGGGCCCTTGTGCGTGTCCACTTGGATATTAGGGCGGGTGATCAAACTGTTGACTACGAAACGATTCGGAGGCATTATAACCTGGATGATATGCAGTTGCGAGTCCTTCAGCTAATGAATCAGGCAGACCAGATCTCCAAAGAGCAAAATTACCAGCGCTTTCGGGAGCAGCGCTTCCGGCAGACATCCTCTAATATATACAATAATATAATATTATGGTGCATAGCCCAAGCTGTAATCCTAATTCTTTTGTGGGCCGTCCAGTATCATTTCTTAATAAGGAAGAAGTCCTTGTACACTTATTACTGCCAAATTCTGAGTGAAAAGGAACTAATGAGGGTAAATATATGGAGAGTCCTAGATATTTAAACAAATGACAAGCTTTATCCACCGATTAGTTCACGACACCCGAGGCTTTCAGAACTCTCATGACCATTCTGGGAATCAACGGTCAGGGTCTAACAACCAGTGCCATTTCACAATGGATCACCCAGGTGGAGGATCCCGAATCAACAGATGAGAAAACAGAGATTATTGTCGGTGATAAGCTTCAAGCCAAAGTGCAAGAATGTAAGAGATCATAAGGCGTCAGTTAATACATATTTAAAACCATTCTCTAACTTGCAGTTGTTGAAAAATTCCTCATCAAGCCAGTACCAACGATTCCGGAGAATCGGAAAGAAAGCTTATTCGCATCCAATGTCCAACTAACTAACCTTCTATATAGCGCCCAGCGAAATCGCAGTGTTCACTTGAAAGGCGACACTTTCTTGCTGGTCTGCGAGTGCAACGATTGCAAGGCCAGTAATCCAAATGAAGTAGAGGCCAAGAAATGAAGTGAACCTTTAACCATTAAGACGTCTGCGTTGTATATGTTTTCGTTTTGTTCTTGTTCTTCTACCAACACATCGCATCTAAATATAAATTTAATTTATAAATGTCTAACAAATCTTATCAAGAGCTATCGCCACCGCCGGCGGAGACTGGCGTCAGGTTAATTAAGTTGTTGCTACTCTCGGCCAGCTCAGCGATGGAAACGCGTCCGCGCTGTTTGATAAACTTGGCAACGGCTGCCAGCTCCTCCTCCGAAACGTAGATAAACTTGCCGCGATCGTCGATTACTCCGGTGATCGTGCCATCTGCTTGTAGCTCTTGGATACGATCAATGGCTTGCTGCGTTTTCAGCTTAAAGGCTACGGCCAAGTCCTCTAAAACAACCACTTTGTTATCCCTAATGTACTGTATAAAATCAGCAAGAAGGTTGTCTTGCTCGTCGGCGTCACCCTCCTCGAAACCCTCTTCCTCCACGCTGAAGGCGGCCTTCATCTTCAGGTACTCTTCGTGTTCCTTGCGCTCACGCTCCTCCTTGGCCAGGCGCTCGGCTTCCACACGTTTGCGTTCAACCTCCGCTTCGAGGTCCTCCTGTTGTTTGCGTTCTGCTTCGTCCTTGGCCTCTTTCACTTTGCGCTGTTCGCGATCATGCAGTTCCTGTTCACGCTGAAGCCGTTTTTGCTCCTTGGCCTCCATCTTGGCTCGCTTCTTTGCACCCATTTTTTCATCAAGCACCGCGCCCTGTGGCACACGGGCACCATCGGCATCAACCTGGGCATCATCGTCGTTGTCGGAGTCTCCGAGGGCCGCCGCACCTGCTGCTGCAGCGACAGGAGCAGCCGGAGCATTCTGGCGCAGACGGTTGCGCTGATTCCGAGCTATTTGTGCCCGACGTGGAACTCCCTCCTGGGCCCGCTGTGGGACGCCACGTTGTGGGGCTGCAGCTGGTTTTGATTCTGTTTTGGGGTCAATGGTTTAGTTGCATATTGGAAAGAGATGCCATAATCCAACTCACCTGAACTGGCATTCTTTTTCTGCAATAGATACAGTGTGATGATCACGACCAAAAGGGCCGTGGCAATCCCCACGAGAACGATCAGCTCCATTGTGAATAACTATGGAGTGGTTTCAACCTGGTGCGCAATGCTTTTTGGCAAAAACAGTAAACGTCAACAAAATGAACATATGGACTGTGCGTCAAGATAGCGGCAGTGACTTCGTAATATTGCTGTCAATATAGCTATTTTATAGATAGATTCGATTGCAAGTGCTTGTAAATTCTTTCTGTTACCTTAATCGCCTTAAATTTTCAATTTAAGTTTAGGGGTCTTCCGTGTATTATATAACCACATATTTAATAATGTTTTACAGTCTTTTTCTCCTATAATCACACATTATCAACAGATAAATTCTTACCTTTGAATATGTATAACCCTAGTTAATAAAAATTAGTATACGCAATATAAATGTTGTAAATCCGTTTTAGTAAACATAATATTTGCAAATTTTGAGAAAAAATAATAAAGATAATATTGATTGAATTTTTGGGTGCTTTACATTTATTTATTAACAAATTTATAATGGTAAACAGAAATAATAATAAATACATTTTTTTTTTTCGAATTTTGCAATGTTAATCTTAACAACAATTAAGATCTCTTCATTAAAAAAAATGTATTAACGCCAATCATTGTAGGAAGGAAATATTTCTTTCTCTTTAATAAAACAGCTTTAATCGAAACTAAAAATTAATAAACACAATAATTTTAATAAGATTTCAAAATGTTTTAAAATTTCCGATTAAACGAAATATATTTTTTTATTTAAGAAGGACGATGCCACGTGATTTCAATTTGATTTGAAATCTGTAATTTCCAATTGACACATACTTTCAGTACCGGACTACAAAATTAATAATTCCCCTTCAGGATAAAAACCACTCAAATCCCATAGAAACACATTATTTGACTTGTACTGTACTATCATATAATAATCAATTACATCGTTTAAAATTTAAAGACATTCTAATGTAATTTGTTGTTTTGTTTTCGTTTCTTGTGTGTATATATAAACATCTTGTTAACAGCTTTTTGTTTTTGTTTTGCTTTTAGTTGGTTGTTGTAAAATACATAATATTTCATAATTGTAATAATATATCCTTAACAACTATTAATATTCAAATATAATTTTCTCTGCATTTATCATTATTGTTGTGTTTTGGGTTCTTAGATCTTCTTGTTTAGCAATTGATTCTTTTTCTGTTTCTGTTTTTGTTTCTCTTGTAGCAGCTGTATCTCTTAAGCTTGTGTTTAAATTAAGGGTTTGGGTTTATTCACTAACCAACGCCATTTCTCGCGCCGCGGGCGTCAGTGACTGGCCCAATGCGGAGGCGGCGGACACGGCGCTGCTCAGACCATCGTCTTCCTCGTCGTCCATCGATGCCTTTTTGCGCTCAATCTCCGCCAGCGCTGCCTGGTCATCATCATCACAATTGCTGCGCTCGACCTGGTCGGCGTTTTCTTCTTCGTGCGCCTCATCGGCGAAGGACACTTCCGCGGGACTGTTACTGCTATCACCATTAGCTGTCGCCGCCACCGCCGTCGTCGTCGTCGTCTGATCGTGCTGGTTGTTGTTGGCCTTATCCTCACTGGCGGACTTATTATTATCACTATCGGCATCATCGCTCCTCGTCGGCGCCGGCTCCTCCTCGGGTATGTCTTCGATCAGGCTGCGATTGCCGGATCCGGCCGATGGACTGCGAGGCGGGGGCGTTGTCGTCGTGGCAGCCGCTGGTATCTCGACCTCGGCCACTTTGCGTAGCAGGACAGGATCGGAGGCCCGCAGTGAGCTTTCTGAACCGCCAACACCTTCACCGCTTGGTCTCAGTACCAGGTAAAGCAGGATGTCCGACAGCGAGATGATGCCGATCACTTTGTGGTGCTCGTCGACTACCACCAGTCGATGCACTTCGGCGCGAACGATGCGCTCCATAATCGTGTACAGCGACTCGTCCAAGTTGCACTTCTGCACGCCCTCGAACCACTCGTTTCGGTGCTCGTTAGCCTTGCGTAGCGACACATCGAGATCGTTGTAGGTTTTCTCAGCAGCGAGATTCTTAAAGAATATAATAAAGGATGTTCATATATTTCAATCTATGAATCCCTTGGGATTTGTTTGAGATACTTACAATCACATCAAACTTTGCATAGATGTCGACGAGTCGTCCCTCGCCATCCACCAGTGGCAGCGCTGAGACGCGTCTCTCCACAAACTTCTTGAGCGCCGTGATTATGCTTGTCGTCTCGTCGGCGGTCTCGATGTTATTGTAGGTGCCAATCTTCAGTTCGCGCAAACTCCTTTGCATGTACGCGGGCTTTGGTAATTCATTAATCTGCATATAGAATAAAAAATATAGGGTTTTACTCATAATTAAGTAAGGGAAATAGCTTTACACTTACATATAGGAAGAGGAACCTCAGTATGCGTTTGTGTGTCAGGATGTACAGGACATTGCCGGTCGCCGGATCAATGACGGGCAGGCGATGTATGCGGCTGTGGATGAGAATTTTGATGGCATCGTAAAGGGAGGCATCCGGTCCGATGCTGACCAACGGCATCACCTGGTTGTGCAGCACACCTGCAACAGAGGGAAGAACAAAGTTAGCTAGGGATTCTTAAATATTGCATTGTTTGGGGTCACTTACTTCGCCACGTGTCCAGTTTGTGCTCTTCCAGCTGCTCCATGGACGCATTTGGCGATTTGTAATACATTTGCAGGATCTTGATAAAGTCCGTGATGGTCAACATGCCAACGAACTGCTGTTTCTCCGAGTCCCAGAGCGGTGCCGCTCGCACCCCGTTGTAGACGAGGGCGTAGAAGGCCTTCTTTACAAGAAGCTGTGTGTCGAAGACGACCAACTTCGGCGGAGGTGGGTATTAGATCATAGCACTTGTGAAAACGAAAGAACTTCACGAAGATCTGTGAGTCGTCCTCCTCTGCAGAAAGAAGAAAAATAAGTTTGTTATAAATTGGATAATGAAAGCTTTGGGCAGCAAAGTTGGGGTCTGGGATGGGCACCTTTCTTGAGCAACTCGGCTAGCAGACGTTTCCAGGCCTCGGAGATCTGCTCGAATTCTTTGATGCTCTCCAATGGATAGCAAAGAACGTCGGCCGGGCGACCGCTGCCACCTCCGAGCACCAGACGACCCGCATGATTAGAGTAGAAGTGCAACTGTAACATGCGTTCTAGGTTCTCTCTCTGCTCTAGTTCGACTCTTCCTCACTCCCTTCTGTTGGTTTATTGTTTTTCTTATTTAGCGATCTTCAGAGTCGCATTACGCTATATAGTCTAATCCGATCCGATCTGATCTTGTCTGCGGCCTGTGGGTGCTAACAATTAACTGGGCGACTCGATTTGCTCTGCTAATTGGTTTGCCTAATTGATCAACCATTTAGCTAACAGGACACTAACAGTGCTGCTAACAGAGCTGAGCCGCTCTATGCGCTTCTCACTGCGTCTAGCTAAGGCGGTGAAACTATATTGATGTGCCCTTACCGTAACCGAACCCAAAAAAAGAACAACCCTCGGTCATAAATTTCTGGGAGCACGCTTTTCGTTAAATTAAATTAAGACATTTTTAATTAAAATAAATTTAGCGTGCGACAAAAGCAACAGAAGCAGCCACAAGCACGCCAAACACACCAGAATAGAATAGATTCACCAAATTGTTCAACAATAAATATTATTTCAATTCTCATCGAGACAAAAAAAGAGAACTCAAGACAGTGAAAGACAGACGGGGTAGGGAAGAGTGCACTGTAGTCTGGGCTATGGCACAATGTAAACAAATAAATATTGAGGCGGGGCCAAAAGGTGTTAATCAAAAACTATATAAAAGCACAGGGGCTGTAGATCGGTCTTGTCAGGGGTCTGATAAATGCAAGCCAAACATTCGCCGATTCAGCATTTGTCGGAGCCATTATAGCGACACATAACAGATATTGGGACAGACGGTTGTGCCAAGAAATTAATTAACCGCAGCATAAGGCCTCAACACTGAAATCTCGAGTGTCTATAAAGATTATTGCGCTTCTTTAGCGAATTTTGCATTTGGAAATCTATTTGGGAAATAATTAATTTTGTTTATAGTCCACAAATTATTTTCGTTCAATTGCCGAGTTATTTTTATGCACAGAGACTTTGAGGATTTATTTAGCGCGGATCAAAGTGAATTTGTTAATAATCAAAGTGGAAAACTAGGGTATATATTAATTTGGAGGAAAGAAATAAAACCTATCATCGCTACAAGTATTTCCAACAAATTATCCGGCTGATATCCACCGCAAAAACAAAAGGAAAAAAGACAAACAGAAAGTTTAAAAACGACCAAAAATAATATATAGAAAAATACACGAAGGCCAGATATCGCGGCAGGAAAATATATACAACGAAATAAATTGTAAAATATTTGGAGATATAAGCAAATGGCAAAAGATTTTCCGACTTTGCTGTGTAAACATTTAAATGTTGTTTAATAAATGGAATTTACTGCGGTTGCCGGGCGGCGAACAATAATGATATTCGAACAGATAAAGAAAGTCGAAGGAAATCGAGATAAAAAGCTGGGAGAGATGGGTGAAGGTCTTTTCATACTCGCACTCCGCTCTCAATCTCATTACCATCGAGAGGTTTGTTGTTGTTTTGATTGCTTTTCAATGCATATATATATATATATATATATATATTCATACTAAAGAATGCAAAGGTATATATGGGTTATCGATTCCGATTCTATATCATTCTATACGCTTCTGGGTTTTGCGTTTCTTTTGACAGCGGGCCACGGGCCACACGAGTTAATTGAAATGCTCCTTGGCATTGCTGGTTTTGTTGATTATTCTGCTATTATTTTTCTCCTCCTTTTTCTCTTCTTTTCTGTGTGGGATCAAAACAATTGAAAACCCATTTCCTCAGTGGGAGGCAATTGGACGGGCGGGCAGAGGTAGTTGTGATGGTTCAGTTGCTTTTGGCGTCGCGGCGCTATTCGAAAATTCTTAACGAATGACTAAGAGAGAAGCGAAGACCTTCGATGGGTCGCCTTTGCTTTGCAGTTGGTTGATTGTTCGTTTGTTGGGTTGGTAAGTAATATCCTAAGACACTAATGCAATGGCCATAGACACACTTTTCCACGTATATAGACACATATAGATATCGAGATATATAGTTCGTGCTGCCAATAATTCCACACCGAAAAACACACGGAAAATTGCCGAAATTTTGTCGTCTGCCCGCCTTCGTTGGCGACGTTCTAAACGATTCGAAATTTTATCATAAACTGATCTGCAGTCTGTGTTTTCCATCTCCTCTCCTCCTTGCTAGCTCTCTGGGTCGGAAAAGTTTTTCGTCAGTGAAAAAGCGCAAAAACAAACAAATGATAGACTGAACACAAAATACAAATGGGAAAATGCTGCTCCGAGCACTAAAACCGAGGAACAAAATTTAAAATTCGAAAAGTTCTCACCGAGCGCTATATAAATTGAATATAATCTTCGGTGAGAGATCGGTTTGAATCGGATCGGTTGGGAATTGACGTTAATGAGGATCATGAAATGTCTGAAATTGCCAACAAATTACATGCACTATTTTCCTTCCACGCGGCTCTCTCTCAACGTACCTTCACATTTTACGTATTTTCCCCTGAGTGGTCCCCGGCGTACTTGGAACTTATAATTAGCTATGGTAAAAAAGAAAAACAAATACCCACTTTTGGGGGTGTGTTCGGCCCACGTTAAGAACTTTTTAACAAAAGCCCAAACTATTCTTAGAGTAGATAAAGAAAAGTGTATAGATATATGTATATATTCTAACGATTATGTTCCATGTCGCATTTCAGACCGCCCACGTCAAGAACCCGCCGAACCGCCTATGGCTGCTACCATAATCCCTGTGAATTATGACTTCGATTCCATAACTTGTCTGCCTCTTGGACCTATATATAGGTAAATATAGGATGTTTTATTCTATTCTAGCGTCGTGTGCCCATAGAAAATCCTCAGAGGCCGACTCTTGATCGAATGCCAAGTGTGTTTGCTAATTTATTTAAATTAAACATTTTTGTTTATCTCGAGGGGCGGCAGGTGAAGTAGGGGTGCGTTGAGAGGGTGGTTTGAGAACTTACCCAGGTCAGATAGATTTACTTTCTCTAGGAACGGATCAGCGACAGGCAACTGGAAAGAAACAAACAAATATTTGGTTAATATTATTATACAGTATATATTATCTTTAACACAAGAAGATCAGGAAGGTATTTTAACTTTTAAAAGACTAAAAGTTTTTACACAAGTCCAGGAGTAACTTTAAAATCTGTTAAAATCAAGTTTTCTCCGTTTATTTACCTCGTTTAATTACTTTCGAAATGATAAAACTATATTTATAGCTGTTAACTACATAAGGCAGTGCAAAGTGAACTATCATTAAAGAAATAAACAGGCTGACTTGAAAAGTCGTAAACTGTGCATACGTAAAACGTTATGCAAGCTCATTTCAGGTGTAGAAATATTTACACCTCTTTTTACCGTAAATTACGATTCTTGACCGCTTCCGCTTTCTTTACACCCTCCTTCCGATTTGCGATATTATTGTTGTGATATTATTCGCGATACAGGTATTATATGTGGGTCACAATGATTGGGCCTTTTTCCAAGGATTATAAAAACAAAATGTGAACTCAACAATGGAAAAAGTAAACAATAAGGGAACACACTACGTAAATAATAGTTCAAGTTGCGCTGATATAGTTCTCATACACGTTATCTGTTAATCAAACAGGCGAAATCACAGATAAAACCCAGAGAAGCAAAAACAATTCCAGCGCCAATGAAATATTTATGAGCCGCGTGGAAAGAGGTGGTGAGGTGGGTTAAGGTGTATGATCACTCGTTCGAGTCGCTTTGAATTAACATTGAAATGTGCAATTGTGGAATTATGACACATTAGCGAGAGGGCGGGAGTTAGGGAAGCAAGGGGGCACCGGAGAATAGGACCGACAAATACCCCATATCAGATACGGCAATTGAAAAATTACGCTCGTATACGAACAACACGGGCCAATTTTGGTTTAGCCTAAACGCTTATACCCCCAATCATTCTCTCTTTGCCTCCCGTCGCGCTCTTCTGTTGCTGAAAATGGGGTCAAGAAAAGTGTGCACTGAGAAAAATTACTTCGTTTTGAATAAAAATATTCAATATTTTAGAATTTTAATGTAACAAAAGATGAAAATCTTATAAGATAAGATAATACATAATGCATTTTGAATGCCATTTTCCATTCAATATCTCTTTCTTAAAGATAATATCTTTACTAAGAGTAGCATTTTCCGTAGGCATATGGTAATGCTGACCCTCATTTTTCTAAATATATATATTGTACTAAATTCAACCAAATTCAATCGGCGGAAAAGCTTCCCCTCAAAGCTTCGCCACTGACACACACTCAATGGATTTTTCTTTGTTTTCATTTCAATGCATTTTCCACACAGTAAAAAATAATCTTTAAATCAGATCTAAATATTTTGACATGTGATTAATGTTGGAGCAATGGCTAGCACGGCTTTAAATCCAAATGGTAAATAAACAAATATTGGTGAGATATTTGCTTATAAGATTATATGAGTTAAAAGAGTTTTTATACTCCCAATTTAAATTCGGGTTATAAAAACCATATAAAGTTATCTTGAATTGTTGTAGTCATATCCAACACACTTTTCTTTCAGTGCACTTACGCTAATCTTGCGTCCCGATCGCGGCAGCAATTGTTGCTGGCGCTTCCACTGCTCGATCTGCTCGACGCTGTAGTCGCTACGCCGTCGCATCAACATGCATTGGTGCACTGGCGAGTGGTGCTTGGGAGAGGGGGAGGAGTGGGCGCTGCTGACGCGCCTTCGCTCGTAGACTAGAGTCTGCTGCACTGCAGCAGCGGCTGCGGCAGCAGAGGGTGAATGACCCAGCGAATGGCGAGCAGCATTTGCAATTGTATGGCTGTTGTTTCTCGGTTGCTGTTGTTGGAGTTTCTGTTGCAGCAGCTCTTGTTGTTGTTGTTGTTGCTGCTGTTGCATTTTCTGCTGTTGACTGTGATTGCTGTGCGCCTTGCGACGCAGCAGCGATGATGACATGGCCGCCGTTAAAGTTGCCTTTAGCTTTTTGCCATCTTTTGCCTTGTTTTTGCCGCTCGGAAGGCTTGAGATGCTTTCATTGCTTTGGCTAATGTGGTTTTGGCTGTTGTCATCGCGCCTGCTTACGTGCTGCGAGTGGCGTTGGCCGTCGACGAGATCGCGAAGATTTGCACTATTCAGCAGTTGATAGTTGCTGCTGGCCGTCGGCCCGTTATTCGACATTAGCGCCGGCAGATGGCTATATCGCTTTTTGCGATGATACAGCGGCGAATTGCTGAGCGAGCGCGCCTTGCGACCGATTTTGGCATTTGCATTTTCACTGCTAAGATTGTTGTTGCTATCGTTGTCTTTGGGCAAATTGGGGTCAAAGTGTACGCTCAATTTCGGCGGCGTTTTCGGAGCGGCGGCGGTGGCATATTGGGGTGGCGGAGAGGGTAGCACTCCCACGCGAGGCGTGCTCGACTCGAAGGCGGAATAACGACGGCGATACATGAAAAGCCCGCACTCAAAGAATTGCCTCGATCAGATGGCGATTTATCACAAGAGCCGAACAATATGACGACACCACTACGCTGTTGGATCCCCGATTATATACGGCCGTGTTCCGTTTCGTTTCACTTGGCTTCCGTTCGTTTTCCGGACACGTCTGCGCTCACGCAAATGTAAACTTAAACTGGTTAAAAAAACGCCTATGGTTAAGAGATTCGCGAGCGGCCAATCGAGCCCCACACATGATCGCCCCACAACAAAGAGCGGAAACGAAAAAGAGAGAGAGAGAGGGCTGGGCTAGGAGAGCAACAGTGCTAAAGCTTGGGCAAATACAAGAACACACGCGACAGGCTACATTGTAAATGTAACGAAGCTACAACACTCTAGAATGCACTAGCACTCGAAAAAATTGGGTTGCAACATTAGCTTTCAGATCTACCAAATAATCTAAAATAAGCCCTAAACGTCTCCCTACTTAAAAAAAATATGTTAAATTCAGCCTTTAATTTTAATAATTTAAGATTTTTAAAACCCATCTCCATGGAAGTTTAGGTGTATATATAAAGAATATTTTTATTAATAAGTTCCTTAACTTATAACCCATATTTAAGCAACGGCGAACCCATTTTATTTTTATGGTAACATTCAAATCGTCTTCACCTTATATTTCAGTGTAATAAAAAAAGTGGGTTGGCTGCATCGAAAATAAACTTTTTATTTGTCCAACGGTTCACTTCTTACACCTTGTTTGCCTTACTTATCTTTTCGCTGGCTCTCCCATTGGTTTCTGCCGGGGTTCTTTAAGAGAGTTGCCAAACCGAGCGAAGAATCATTAATATCCATTTAACCGGATAAAATAGGGTATCTGAAGAATGGTGCTCGTTTATTTCCTTTTCGACTTAAATCGTTAAATCGTTAAAGCAAACAAACGGTTCACAGACAGAGATGGGCATATGTGAAGTGGAAGAGAGGTGGAGGCAACGAGAGAGGGAGCGAGAGACCCACTTGCACCCACATGCAAAAAAGCTCAAGAAGGCCACTGCATTCCGAGGAAAAGAAGAAGCGCAACAAGTACTCGACTCAAAGTTAAACCACTCAATTTAAGTTAAGTGACTCAGAGCAAAATACGCATCGAAAAAGCAAAGAGCTTGTGTGTACATTTGATGTTTTGTTTAAGCGATAAGTAAAGCAAACGTTACTGCAAGATTGTGGCCTTGCCAAAGACTAAGAGAAAGAGTGAGAGAGCGGGAGATAGAGAGATGGCAAAGAATAGTGAGAAAAGACTGACATATGACGAGTACTTGGCTAATTAATCATCATCATTAGCGTGCATATACCAATAACAAACTAAAAGCAAAAAGAATTCCACGGTGAAAGCCCAAGCCGCTGACGTCAGAGTACAGAAAAGTTAGAAAGAATTCACAGAGAATTCCCAGGCATATGCAATCGAAGAAAAAATGCTTGACACATGATTCTATATCTATCAATCGATAAAAACCAGTTCCTATGGGTGACCACGTTGTGAAGTGCGAAATAAACAATAACAACAGACTCTAACAATATAATAACAGTATGTTTATAATGGCCATTAGGCCGATTATGTGACCTTGGTGTTTACATAGGTGTGGGCGAAAACCCGAGAGAAAGGTAATTCTTCTACTAATCCAAAGTTGACGACAAAGCCAATATCGAAATAACTTGGCTACAAACATGATTTCTTGTTTTTATTTTGACGTGATTCATTGACTTGAGTTCATTTCATCAATTCCGATAATATTTCATTTGTAAGTACGGATCTCTGGTAACAAATCTTATCTCTGTATATATTACGTATACGCAATAAATACCTTTAATACGTCGTTTGCTACTCTACACGTAAACTACATAAAATGTAGAACAATCATAAACCTCAAAGTATGCAATAAAAATATAATACCCAAGGGATTATGTGGAGTTTTAAAAGAACACAAAAAGCTGTATGTGCATCATGCACTTAACTTCCAAGAGGTGCAAAGAGAAGAGGAAGAAGATACATAAATGCACCTGACCTTGAATTATATAAGCAAATGGGACAACGCATTTCTCAACAAGCAACAGAGTAAATCAGAAATGTCAAGGTGAAGTGAACTGAGTGAGGTAAACAAATAAGGGGAGTCAAACAGTAGAAGCTAAGGAGAAAAGGGGGAATTCACAGAAGCTTATTTTCAGCTATTAATAGCTTCGAATCAGAGGGGCGACCACATTGCCTTTTATGGCGATAAGAAAGGCAGAATATAATGAGAAAAGGAAAATATTTGTGAGATTTGAGCAAGATAATATATTATTACATTAAGTTGAGGAGATAAATTCTTGAATAAGTCGTGAGGTAGCAGTTATTTATCGTTTGTTGGATGACACATTATTACGCATAACTAGGAAGATAACTTTTGTTGACATCTAGATTTCCTAACTGGACTTGTTTAGGTAAAAAATCCCAGCCTTATGATATGCTTTTAAATCATGAGACCATATTTAAGACTTACCCCTCTGGAGTCTCTGAAAAGGATGGCTGCATGGTGCGGATCCAAAGTACCATCCCCTCGCAGCCCTCGACCGGCGGCGCCAAGTGAAGCACGGCGTTTCTCCAAATCCGCTGAGGCACGTCGCATATGAGCACCTGAAAGGCAATACAAATAATCATAAGTACAAATTTTCACTAGAAGATTTGTAAGATTAAACCTAAACCTAATCGAACAGCAAGTACCAAGTAACCCTTCCCAAAACCTTTTACCTTCTTTAACTATATTATCATAAATCTTGTAGGTTGCCCCACAGTCATCCAAAATGCGATTGGGGCGGCTGAGCGTGTTTACATCCAAACTCTTGGATCTAGTGCGGAAGTTCTCCTGAGGATCATTCTGGGGCGAAGTGCAAACGCTTTGGGCGTCGTGGTGTTTCCTTGGCCACAGGTGCATCTTCTTGCCAAAATGCTTCACAAGCTCGTGGATCGAGTGATGGTGGTGATGATGATGATGGTGTTTTCCGTGCTTGCTATGACTATCCTTGCGGGGTGAGTTCTGCTGCTCTTGTTCGTCAATGCTGAGACTCTTGGCGAACGACGCATTGTCGAAACGTTGGCGATTGAAGGGTCCGCTGCTCATCCCGCTGTCTGTACTATTTATCGACTGACGCGAAGACTCATTAGCCAAGGTATAATCATCCAGCGAGGTGTGCGCAGCACTCACGCGATGGAAGATCGAGATCGCTGTGGGCCGCTGCTGCTGCTGTCCGCTGGCACCCGTATGGGTGAAATACTGATGGTCCGCCTGGCTCTCGTAAATGTCGTCGAGATCGTGCGGAAAGTAGCCGCCTCCACCTACAGGCGCTGTGGGTGGCGGAGAGCCGAATTCCGGGACTGCACTACGACGTATGCTCTGCAAGGTGGTTTTTATATGATTAACTTTGATTTCTTAAGAACGAATCCGATTTAAGAGATGCAAACCGATTTGATCAAACGAAACGAGATTTAACCAGCCTGTGATCAAATTTTACCTCTAAAATATTAGTTTTAATTCTTGAAATTTTACTATTATTAACTATAAAGTTTTAAAATTTGTTGGCAAGGGAAAAAATTAAGTTCAGATCATAAGCTATTCCTATTATTTAATAATATTTGTTTAGTTACAGAATTGGTTACAATTCATTGCAGCTATAAAAGAGGACTTGTTACTGTACATTTTTCTGAAAAGAGTAAAAATATGGTAATATGGTAAATTTGCCTTTTCTAAAACAACATGTTTTTCTTTTCCATTTGTTACGGTCACACAATTTGTTACAAACAGTTTCCTGATTCGAGCAAAAACTGTATCTAAATTCTCGATCGATTTGCATCCTTGTTTTCAATATTCTACTCACAGCATAAAGTCCCGGACTATGAGATCGTTCTAGGAAGCTGCGCTTCGAGGAGGGCGTCCGTTTGAGACTGCCGCAGGTGGGCTGTTGCTGTTGCTGCTGGTGGTAGTGGGAGTGGTGGGTGGGCGAGTTTCGGTAGTGATGGTTGGCCAACGACCGTGGAGCATCGGGCACAGCCTGGGGCAGCGAATGACGTTCGCTTTGCCATTGAGAATAGGCGCTTCCGGTGACTCCTCCAAGATTCTCACCACCACCTGCAGTTCCTCCTCCTCCGCCACCACCAGAGTTATTGGAATTAGAACTAGAGCTGCTGGAGGAGTCGACACTGTATAGACGGCTGCCCTGCGAGGAGGCTTCGGCACTGCTTCCGTAGCTAGGATAAATTTGACGAGACCAACTCTCGCCACCGCTCAGCTGTTTTTCCACGGCATGCTGGCGGTACAGGTGCGTGATTCCATGCATTTCTGGGCCGTTGTTTTAAACACTTTTGTCAAATATTTTGTTATTTTTTTCTAGTCCTATATGTTGTTACACTTTTGCTACGCAGTGTAAAATAGTTATTTTTGTTGCACTTGTCAGTTTGGGTAATGTAAACACTGCGATCCTTTTGTCGCCGTCTCTTTTCCGCCTTGTGAAAGTCACATAATAATCCTTCGACTGTAAATAAAAATTACAACACAAATCACTCTCCTGCTCTCTTTTTATCGCCCACTATCTATGCACTTGTTCGAGAGCTTTTGCTCTGCATCTCTCTCTATTGATACCGTCTCGCTTGCTCCTAGGTTGAACGCACTGAAATTAAGTCAAAGCTGCACACATCGTCGCGTTTTTATTTGTTCTTTCTGCTGCTTTTTGTTTGCCACGACGCGTTTGTTTATTTTTAACATTTTTAAACACTTTTTGTCTCTACATATTGGCTATAATCGACAAACCGTTTGCAACAACACATATTGAGTGATGAATGCACTTGAGCAAGTTCACCTCAGCACCCACATGATGACAATAACAACAAGGCGGAGTCAATGAGCGCATAGCTTTATTTTTATTTATTTCAATTCACTTAATTCTCTGCCTTGTTGTTATCGTTGAATTCCCATTGCAAAATGTGCTGAGTAAATAAATAAATACCTAATCGATCGAAACGATTGCCAAAGAACGTTTGCAAAACTTATGTCGCCTGCACGCACTGCGGCCTGCTCTCAGGGTCAGTTTTCTAGGCGAGTTCAGCGACCCAGGCGACAAAAATTGCAAAGTTCAATGCCATAAAAGTGTAAAAGAACTTTAAACTTTTCAATAAAAAACGGATTATTATTTTATAGTTCCTTAGGTTATATATTGATATCTTAATTCGTCTTAGGTGCGAAATTGAGAATTGCATAAGTACTGGAGAATTTATAACTAATCCGATCTTCAAGAATTGAGTTAAATGCCAAATCACTACTGACAAATTTGTCGCCTGGCTGGCTTAATAATCCTGTTCCTTTTCCTCTCTTTCACTCTCCTCTTCTTGACTGCTCTCTTTCTAGGCCCACCGCTCTTGCGGTTTTTGCCTGGCTGTCAACCCCTCTTGGGTAATTAAATCATTTTTATAATGCAATAAATACGAGTTGCATCTGTTCGAGAAAAGTGCGCTGATAGCTTTATAAATCGTTCACTCCACAGAATCACAACCGCACACACACGAGTTAGTACTCAAATCGTATGCTTGATTTAAATAAACGGCCTTTATCTTTATCGCTGTGTGAAAAACCAAACAACAAACGGAGCAGGGCGAGAGGCAGAGGGAGCGATGCAAGAGGGAGTGGGAATCGGAGGCGGGGCATTTAAGAAGCCAAAAGCCAAAGCAAAGCACAGAAAAATAAAGTTAAGTTCTATTTTTATTATCAACGCAACAATAACAACACGGCCAGCGATTTCAAATGAAGAAAGAGGAGAAGGCGCACTGATAAAAACAAATGGGAATATGGAAAATATGCAGAAAGCACAAGAAAATAACACAGGAATATTGATTAACTTTCTTAAGTGGCTTTCTGGGTAATATATTTCACAATTTTGTCAAATTCGTAGAACAAAGTAAGCGTAGAGAGCTGCAGCCGGTTCAATTGAGGTTAAGTCACCAACTCATTTATTTACCGCCAATCAAATTTGTATAAATAATGCAAAATTCTATATGTACACAAACATATACTACGTATATATATACGGCCGGCCGCCCACGCAATCGTACACTCATACACACACGAACACACCGATATAGGTACGCACACAACCGCTCGGCTTAAAATCCCAAAGAAGAATGAGAATGAAAATGAAAAGAACAAACGGTGCACGTGCTGTTGAACAAGTGCCATAGAGAGCGAGAGAGTGAGTGGGAGAGATGACGTGAAAGAGAGAGGCTGCAGACTAACAGCCCTGTTAGCGCTAACAGTGGGGGTTTTTGGGGCGTCCTTGAAATCTAAGTACATAAATGCAAAAAGCGAAAGTGAAAGCATGAATTAAACCATTTCCCTTCAGTTCAGTGCAGTTAATACTCAAGCACATGTAATCCATTCGCAAATACGGATGAATTACCATCTGAATTAGTCTGGGGGGCATCTCAAGGGCACACATATACATAAATCCAACCATAAATCACTCAAATGTGAAAGAATTCTCTTGGCAAATATAGAAAATTTCCACTTGGCTTTTAAGTGTGGAAAAAATCCATTAACACCGCATTTCTCCCATAAGGATTTGAATGCCCTTCTAAGTATGCAATATTTTGAAACGTGATATGCCGAAAATATGACCAAAAAAAAACCTGGGTCGAGGGTCAACTTCCTTTCCTACTTTCACTTTCAGGCCCCTACTTATGACGCATGCGTGCGAAGAAAGTGAAAGTATATAGATTGTATATAATACTGTACTATATACCTAAGTTGCGCAGGTAAGGGGTTAGGTCTTATTGGTGCCTTCGTTCTTCTCAAGAAACTATTTTATTAAATAAACAAATTTAAATCATAAGTAAACAAACATGCTTAAAGAAATAAACACTTTAAAATTATACCCCCTGAATATATATGGTCTACCCCTCTGATATAAGCTTATGTAGTACATAGTAGGCTCCAAAAGTCTATGGATCCAACGCAAATTGCGCATTTAGGTCAAGTGTGTACGCAAAAGAACTTTGATTGGGAGTGCGAAATTTTAAAATGCTAAGTTATCAGACAGACCCCCTCTAGACAAGCCTTGGCGATAAGGAAATACTATACTACGGGAATATTTTTGGGCTGATAAGGGCGTTTTGTTCGTTTGCTTTGGGCCTATCGCAAAATAGATGTGATTGACAGGCAACCATAAATAAAGGCCAAAAAAGGTGCAAACAAAATGTTTAACCGACCATGGGGCGTATGCTTAATTTATCTTTAGTGCCCTGAGTAACTGTAAACAAAACTACGCTTCTGTTTTTATTCTTTTCTGCAGTTAAGTTTGTGACTTTGTGCGAAATTCGGTCATCATTTACCTTGAACGTGATTGGATATTGGATATGTGTAAATAAGTATCGAGCATTCCCCCGAATCCCCTTCCTTATCGCCATGCACTGGTCATGTGGGTAACATTCTGACGGATGTGCTAAGGTGTGCGATTTAAGTAGCCTCTTCTTCTCCTCTTTTTTTTGGGGTTCTTATTTTTGTTTTTAGTCTCCTCCAATTTCGAATTTGGCTTCAACTCTGGCTTGTTTTTGTGCTGACTTCTGTTTGCGCTGAAAGCAGATAACCCGATGAA